ACCACATACATATATATTTTCCTGGACTATTCTTTGACTCTACTATATCTCTCCCTCTACGGGGTCTCACTGGGCGTTTTGTGTTCAATTTAGCGTCATAATTTCGTTTATTGCATAGCCTGCTCCCCGAATCTTCAGCGCTGCTGTCAAGTGTTTTTGTGTTGAGTTCATCAAAATTGTCGCCGGCCAACGATGACATCCACTTGACGCAATTTTCAGTGCTGCGGAGAGCATCACTGCCACTGGCAGCTCCACTCGAGAGTCATTCATTCATTCGCTCAAGCCGCTGCTAAGCATCCATTCATTCCGTCATTCATCCATTCACTCACTCGCTCATTTCACACCATTTACAGTTACAATTAATGTTTGTTTGCCTGTCTCCCGCATTTTTAGACTACCTCCCCTCCCGAAAAAACATCAAAGGGCGGCCCAGAAAGGGCGGCCCAGAAAGGGGAGAAGCAGCAGAAGCCACCCACAAAATACCGCCCAGGCTTATCTTAAAGCTGCAAAAAGCTTGCATATTTAATAATTGCTCAGCTGAAGTTCATAAAACCGGTAAAGAAGTCCCTAGAGGAAGATTCCCGAGGGAAATGAAAAGGGTCGAGGGATGGCAGCAAAAAGCGCAACCTTAGCCCGCTCATAAATGAATGTTTCTGCTATAGAATTTACACCTCCATGGATGGGATGGAATGGTTTGGGGCAGGGACTGGGGGGCAGCATCCTGCGGCATGACTGGCATGCTTCTGGTGGCCCAGCTGAGGCATGCCCATAAAGTATCTTAAATATTTCAGGTGTGCCGGCAATTTAAGGGTCTCCATCTCATTCAGGTGCGGGTTCATTAGATGTCCACTGCAACTTCATTTGCAGGAACGTAAAAAAAAGAAACACAAATCTTCGCGGCTGGTTACACTGCCAGCTGGTTAGTTGCCAACTTGATGTCGGTAAACCTTGGATTCTTGGGTATATACTGTATAGAATTAGGGAAGACAAGTCGCTTAATCGTAAACAAACTGAAACTGAAACCACTCCAAACACATAAAAACAGATTTTGATTAAAAATGTATAAAACGTGGAATACATTTAAGTGTCAACCTCTTCGTTAATCATTAATGTTTAAGAATGACTGTTTATTACGAAGTTCTGTTAATATTTCCCCAGTTTAAACTCATTAGCACCTCACATTAGGTACGGAAGTTAAAAATCTTTTCAAAACCTTATGGAAAAAATATTATATTTAGTGTCTTTGGGTAATATAAAATACTTGGAAAATCTATTATGATAGAAAATTGTTTGTAAATGTCATATTTATCTAAGGACCACATGGTACCGATCTATATATTCCTTACTTAATCTTCCAAGATTACAGATACGTCTAAGATACTTGGAAACCAAGTTATTTTATGATTTCATCGTAAAATCCAGGTACCCGGTATGTGGATAATCGTAAGACCCAACTTTGGCATCCCTAGTTGATGTTTTGGTTTTTATGCTGCTGTTATTTTAGCTGCAGAGGCTTAGCCAGCGACGACGTCAGAATTTCAATGTTTTTTTGTTCTGCCCAGCCTGTTAATCTATTTTTTATGCGCTTTGCGAGGGCATTCGCCTAAAAGCTAGCTGAGGATTTTTTTGTTCCCTTTCGGCGGGCCGTTGGTGCTGGTTTTCTGCTTTTGATTTGATTTCGTTTTCGTTTCGCATTGTGGGTTCTGTTTTTCCCCTATATCCCTCTGAATATGGCTTGTATTTGGGTATGGTGCCGAAAAAAAAATGTTTTTTGTTTGCCTTTTGTTTTCTTTTGTCATCTGGTCCAGCCCAGCCACCCTAATTTGTTGTTGGTTTTTTGTCAACGCTTTTGCATACAAAGCACACACACACACACGAAAATGGGATTTTATGCACCCCGCTTATTATAATCAAACAGTTTGTTTGGTTCACCTCTTACGTACTTTTTTTTGGCTTTCGGCTTCTTTTGCTTCGTTTTTCCTCTTCCACGGTTGCTGTTTATTTTTTGCCGCTTCCTTTTCACTGCACCTTCTTCTTCTTAGTGATTTGGGGCACTTAACATAATTTAATTTCGGCAACTATAAATTACAACTCCTTGCACTTGGCACACACCACAACACTGAAGTTGTTTTTGCTTTCCTTTTTTGTTGTCACAGCTCAAAACCTTCTCCTTCTGGCTTCCTTTCGCCCGTTTATCCTTAATCTAAGGACAACAAATGGGTGGGGGAAAACTCACGCCCGGAGGTAAGGATCCCGCGACCCTTGAAAAGCGCGAATTTTTCCGAACCCAAATATTTCTCCGACCCACGAACACACTCACGTCCACAATGGGCAACACAATCAAAGCTTTTGGCGTCACTGTTTTGGTTTCAATTTTGGTTTTAAGTTCGAACCGACTTCGATTTCCCGATTCCCAGAAATTTTCCCGATTCCGGAACAATGCGACCGCGCGACTCGAATCGCCGAAACAGATTGAAGCGAACATCGTCGAGATGGGTGTTTTTGTTCGCACGCGACCAACATCCCTCTCTTCGGTTTGGTTCTCTTTGGTTCTCTGGTGCAAGGCCTCCGCCTCTGGAACGGACAATCTGTTAAGGTCCAGGCACATGGGCGTAGCCTGATTTATTTCCTGGCAAAATATTCAAAGAAATCATAGGCAATAAAAACTTAACCCATACCACCCACCTAAGATACGCACGTATGCCACAATTGTTGATATTGTTCACTTTGATATAATGGCAAATGGTGTAAGAAAAGTGAACATTTTTACAAAAACTCTAGACAGATCCTTTAGGAAAGGAGCAAGGACCTCCGGGTAATTTTGTTGTTCTCAAAACACTTTCCTCTATCGATCTGAATTTAAATTATCCTCTAGCTATTAATTATTATTAATCTTAGTGACGTATAGTTGGTTACCGACCTTACAAGGCTCTTCAGATGGACCCTATTTTAAATTCTGCCAAAGTGTTTTTACCTTTATTATTCTTTATTATTCTCCACGATCAATATTGATCGAGTCTTTGTTAGTGCATATGCTCAGCGTCCTCCTTATTTATTTTACAGGTCCTTAAAAGTTCTTTCAAAATAAATATGGATATGATGTACATTTGCCCCCCTGGTTCTTAACATAGCTCCAACAGTTTTGTTTGGAATCGAAACAGCCCCACATTTATGAGAGAGCATTCCGGTTTGAGTTCGATGCTTGGTTGCGGTTCGAAGAGAGTCGTTTTGGAGAAGGTGTTGCAAGGTAAATAAGCACGCAACGGAGAAAGCAGCAACAAAAACATGATCAACCGGTGGGACTTACTTATTGCACTTCAAGTAATGCCCTCTGAATTATGTAATTATGGTTTTTTAATTGGCTAATTACTAGAATTATTATCGAAAGTATTCATATACATATATGCAGACATTGATTACTTATGTATATATTTAATTAACAAAAAAGGACATCAAAAAATACTTAAGCTAACAATATCTTTAATTTAGTTTTACATTATTATATTAATTTTCCACGATGCTGACGAATTCAAAAAATGTTTCTATAAGAATAGGGGTTTCCACAATATAATAGTACAACTTACTTCCTTTAATCAACAGGCACCTAATGATAAAAAAAAAACCTTATAAAAGGCTGAGGATGTCTGAGATTTTGTACGATTTGATTTCGGTGTATCTCTGGGAATTTTAAATTGTTGTGAGAATTTTCGAGGTTGAAAATTAAAACGACAAGCGCCCTATAGAACACATAAAGTCACAAATATCAATAAATGTTAAAGCTCAAGAACCTATAATTCAAGGTGATAAGAAATACGGGATGCATTAATTTCAGGTGAAATTTTGCATTGTTATTCCAAAAAAGTACACACGATAAATCATTTTATTTTGAGCAGTCAACCAAGTGCATTTTTGGAATATCAACTCAATAAATCTCTCCTTTCTCTGCGCCTTTTCGGAGTCATAAGATAAGAGCAGATTTCAGGTCACCGAAGAGGGGCAACAGCTGCTTTCAGTGGCCAAGGCCCCTCAAGAACCCCCATGCGATTGTTCTGAAAAGCCGGATAAACAACTTTCCTGCATTCCCAACCAACTGTTTTTTAGCCCTTGAATTGAAAGAGGGATTGATGTCGCTAATTATAATTACATGTCAATTATAATTGGCACCCAATCAGAGGTCGTAGGAGCAGCTTTATTAATTAGCCGCAATTGTTGTTTTGTGTTCCATTTGCCAAGCGTTTTCAGCTCTCTCTTATTTTTTTCTCTTTAGCGCCCACGCAACACTCTCTTCGGTGCGGTACAACTGTTGGGTGCACAGCAAAAAAAATATCTTATTAAAAAAATATAGGTATATCATATTATTTTCATATTTAAAATATATTGACATGAATTTTTAATCTTAAATGTATTCTATTCTATTTCATTTTGTAATAGGTAAACAAATAATAAATACAAATTCACAAAAACAAATCAATCTCTTAAGTTTTTCTCACTCTGTTTTGGTACATTCTATGACGGTACTTCTTCAACTTTAGGACGCCATACTCATTTCCGGTTTCCGTTACTTTGTGTGCGTGGAAATTTTGGGATTGCGTGACAAACTTTGGCCGCCCGATGCTTTTTTGCGCATCTGAATTTTATTGAAAACACATTAAGACATCCCACCAGCAGGCAGCGACACTTTCGCCGGAAGTTGCCAATTTCCCCAACGACGAGCGCCCCCTTTTTTGTGGGCGTGACCCGTCAGGGAAATCAAATTGTCTGGTGCAATGGCAAGGCGAATTGTATTTTACTGCCAATAAACGTAACTTCCCCTCGAGCAGGCTAATCAACGTTTTGCAAGAGCCGAAAAATTGTCGCGAAGAGCGAGAGAATTTCCACCCCGGCCCATCAGGGGGCTGATAAGACGCCTGCATTGATTAGATAAGAACCGAAATGAGCGGGAGCTTTTTCTTTTTCTATTCGCTTCGTTTGATAGCCAGAAAAACCTAATCGCGCTTAGTCACAGGTTGCCAAAGCGCGCAGACGGTCAGAAATGGACGACACCGACTTCTCGCTCTTCGGCCAGAAGAACAAGCACAAGAAGGACAAGGCGGATGCCACCCAGATCGCCAAGACGCCCACCTCGGAGCTGGATCTCAAGAGGATCATAATCTCGCGGGCCACCACGGAGGACACATACGAGAATTGTGCGCGGGCGGGCATTGCGGTGATCCTCAACCACAAGGACGTCAAGGGGCAGAAGCAGCGCGTGGGCACCGAACGGGATCGGGATGACATGGAGGCCACGCTCAAGGGGTTCGGATTCGATGTCCGGACCTACGACGATCTGACCTTCTCCGACATCAACGACAAGCTGAAGGAGGGTGAGTGTTTCCTCATACGACCAGTGTTACATAGAAGCACCCATAAATCACTAAAACCGCTTTATCTACCAACTGAATCAAGTTTATTTTTGTCTTGCATGGCAAAATACAAAGTAATGTCTTCTTAATGAGCTGGCCTTTGAGAGTAAAATATATGTATTTAATATCTTACCAGTGGTGAAAGAGAATAATAGCAATCACTATTATTGTTATTTAAATTATGTTTTAAGTGATTTTTTTTATCGGCATTGGTGACATATTTCAAACACCGATATCTTATCATTATCAAAACAAAGTCAGTACTTTTATGACTGCAATAATTATGAGATAAAGAAAGTAATCGGTTTTTTTTGTTCGATCTCAGAATCAGCAAAAAACAAACGAATTTCTAGTTGAATTAAATTCCACTTGAGAACTAAATCTTATAATATGTATTATTATTAGTTTTTCTTAATTTTTGTATAGAAACCCATACATTGACTACTTATTTAACTTAATCTGTAATTATTCCAGTGGCTCGCGAGGATCACAGTCAGAATGATTGCTTTGTGTTGGCGGTGATGTCGCACGGAACTGAAGGAAAGGTCTATGCCAAGGACATGTCATATCCTGTGGAGCGCCTATGGAATCCCTTCCTTGGCGACAACTGCAAGACGCTAAAGAACAAGCCAAAGCTCTTCTTCATTCAGGCCTGCCGTGGTGAAAACCTGGAGAAGGCCGTCGAGTTCTCAAGCTTCGCAGTGATGACCAGGGAACTGGTCCCGGATTCCGTGGCCCCCGTACAGCCCATTACCTACGCAATCCCCAGCACGGCGGACATGCTCGTCTTCTATTCCACCTTCGACAGTGAGTGTTGACAAAAGTAATCTTCTTTTCATAGTTTCACAATGAAATGAAAATTTTCCGTGCCTTAAAAAGCTTTTAACATCAATCAATAGGGGGTTTTAATTGGTTTTAAAGGATAGGGTTTATTAGAACAAGATATATCAACATGAATTAATATCATATTATTCACAAAAAAAAACATTTTAAAATCATTCCCAAAATTGGTTTGAATTGACAGTCAGAAATTATTCTACATCAGAATATTTAATTATCTCAAATTATATTTGTTTTTTCACATAAGAAATGGATAATTCAACTTACGACTCAATAGGATGTCTATAAAGAATATTTACATACTAATTTCCTTCTCTAGTTTATACGTTTACTTATAAAAAAAATTAAACACTCTATATAATTGTATTTTTAAAGAATTGTATTTGATTTTCTTTTATTTTGATTTCTTTCCCTTCCCTTATTGCTTTCAGAATTCTTCTCGTTCCGCAACGTTGACGATGGCTCCTGGTTCATCCAGAGTTTGTGCCGCGTCCTGGACCTGGCCGCCTCCAACGAGGCATCCCAGCCGGAGGGCGCCGAGCTGCTCCGCCTGCTGACCGCCGTCAACCGCAAGGTGGCCTACGAGTATCAGTCGAATACGAAGAACGAGGCCCTCAACCAGATGAAGGAAATGCCCAACTTTATGTCCACGCTGACCAAAACCTTCCAGCTGCGTGTTAAGCCCAAGACCTGAGCACCGGTCACGGAATCACCGTCAATCCAAAACCATTGGGGACTGAGTGAGTCAGTCGAGGGACGAGGCGAACGAGGGACACCACAACTCTTTCACTTAATCGTAATGTTTGCAATTTGTTGATAGAAATATATACATATCGATGGCACTTATCTGGAATTGGCTTAGAGCCCCGGGGGCTGCGATAGTGATTGCTGATAGGACTAGATAGAAGTAAAGAAGTTGGGGTCAGTTGCCCGGAAAATGTCGCGATTGCCGCATGCCTGCGGTCTCTGTTTGCTGCTGAGGTTTTGGCAGCTTTTGGCCTTGGCCCCGTTTCGAATTAATGGTCAAAAGGTAGCCCGGTGTCAGCGATGGGTGACCTTAAGTGCGGCTTTTAGATGGCTTTTGCTCACCTCGGTGGCACCACTGATTGTGTGGCAAAGCTTCGCCATTTATGAGGCCACGAATGTTCGGCTTTCGACGGTCTTCAAGACAATTGCTTTGGCCGCCATGGTTGGAGATTTTGGCATTTCCCTGGCTCTCCTGGGAACGCACCTGTTGAAACGTCGCGAGTTGGCCAAACTGATGACGGGTTTGGCCAGATTGCATCGTCGGAGGAAACTGAGCTGGTGGTCCACCTTGTTCCTGTGGCTGAAGTTGCTCCTCTCCCTCTACGAACTCCTCTGCAATGTGCCCTTTCTCGAGGGGGCAGGCAGTCGGCTGCCCTGGTCTCAACTTCTCGCTTTTGGAGTCCAGCTTTATGTTCAGCATGTGGCCAGTGTCTATGCAAATGGAGTATTCGGGGGCATGCTACTAGTCCTGGAGTGTTACAATCAACTGGAACGTGAGGAGCCCATTTTGGCAAGACTTTTGCAGAAGGAACGCAGCTGGCTGAGATTGGTCAACAGATTCGTGAAGGTCTTTCAGCTGGGCTTCTTTTTGCTGGTCATTGGCAACTTTATCAATATTCTGGCCAACATTTACGCCTTTATGTCCTACTTTGTGTCGCTGCACGGCGTTCCCCTCACAATTTCCAATAACTGTTTGATTATGGCCGTCCAGCTATATGCTGTCCTTTTGGCCGCTCACCTTTGCCAGGTGAGGTCAGGTCGATTGCGAAAAATGTGCTTGGAACACCAATATGTGCCTGATGGACAAACTCGGGAACAGGTGGGTGAATCCGAAACAAATATTTCATTTCCTTTGGTCTCACCCACTGGCAATGTGGAGTTTCGTATTTTAGGCCTTTTCACCTTGGACAACTCGTTTTGGCTTTTTTTGGTCTCGTATGCCATGAATTTTATCGTGGTTATCCTGCAGTTTAGTCTGGAGAACATGAAACATGTTTAAGTTTAAGATGAAAGGCAAATGAAACGTTTTTAAATTGATCTCAAATATATTTATTAAATTAATTAATACTCAAATTTGTTCCTTATTAATAATTTTGTTCATTTTATTAAAAGGATAATTCCAAAAAATGTATAGGAATGAAGAATAAAACCCGAAATTAATTTTAAAATAGCTTTTTTTGGTTAAATACCACGTTTTTGTTTACTTTTCAAACAAGTGGAATTTTACAAATTTTACACAACGTAAGCGTTGCACAGTGGCGCCAAAAATTCAACTAATGGAAAAGCGACTGCTTTACAAAGTAACTATTTTTTCCAGGTGGCGCTGCTTTGGTTTAAATATCCGAAGTCGCTAAGAAGACGGAGCATTTGCCCCAAATACTTGAGCGCGCAGCTTGAATATTTTATTTGTTTTTGCTCTTTTAACAATAATGAAGCTTTCAACAACAATAAATATTTTTCAAAGCGTTGACACGAAAATAAAACAAAGTAAATTTGCAAATTATTGATGTTGCGTGTGAGTTACGGCTTTGTTTCTCTTTCTTATTATTTTAAATTCAATAAATTTAAGTAGAGCAGGTGGACTAAGCTAAGCATTCGATATAATCTTGATTTTATCACACAAAGATTTATGAACACCCAACTCCATTCAATAAATTTTTGTCGCTTTTGCTTGAGCTGCACAATCGCATTTGTGAATTTTGATATGATTTTTGTGAAATGCCTTTGTCACTTGATCAGCCATTGCGTAAACTGGAAATGAAAGTGGCAGCCAGCAAATCCCAAAAACTAGTTGAAATAGATTTGCAGTCAAAAAAACATGAAATCGTTAAACTCTGGCACCAAACTGCAAGACATGATGGCTATAATTGATCATTAATTGCTATTGGCATAGGCCAAAAAACCGAAAGTTACATAAAGCTTATATTGTAGGAAAGCGGTTTGGAAAAAGAGAAGAAGGAATGCTATACGCAAATGTTCAGTTTCATTAGCCAAGAGTTTTGAAATCCCTTTGGCCCAACGATGCATACCCAATTTGTTGCTTACCTCACTACGAATCCAATGACTGATGTGTAATCTGATATGGCAGGTGAGCTGATGGGATTAGCATATCTTCCTGCTTTCACTCGCCGACTTCTCGACCAGCCCTCGCTGATTAGCATTGATTCTTCCAGCGAAAAGCAGTGGCTAACCACGAGCGAGCTCAGAAACCAGGAGCATTCGCACGCGCCAATTTTCCAAGCCGCTGGCTCGATCGGTTCGGCTCTTCAATACGGCGCCGCTTGCTGTCCGCACACTGAAAGAAATTATTATAATTTAATTTTAAAATATATTTTATTACAGATTTAGATGTAAACCCACAAAAATTTAAACTTTACTCGAGATTAATAATATTATTTACCCATTTCATTTTGATTTATTTCAAAAGTGATTTAAAATATCTAGAAATTTCTAGGGGTATTTATTTATTTAAATGTAGACCTGCACAAAATTTAAACTTTACTCGAAACTTATATGTATTTTACCCATTTAATATTTAATTTTCGATTAAAATCTCTAGAAATGAGTAAGGGTAACCCTAAAATTTCGAATATTTGTTATTTACTTCGATCTTTTTTATTATATCTAAAGCTAATACAATTACTAAATAAAATTAAACTAGAACAAAAAGAGTTTTTTACTCAATATGAATTTAAATAATATTTGAAACCGTTTTGGCCAATAGGGATTTTTTTTTGCAGTGCATGGTTTTGCGTAGGTTGTTGTGGGCCGTCGGTCAGTCGCATCCACTGCTTTTGCTCCGACTTCGTCTCCACTCAGGTGTTATGTAAAGCTATTAAACCGCATAATGCAAACGCTGCTCAGTCTTTCAGCCTCTGCCTTTCTTCGCTCTTTCTTCGCGGCTGTCTTGTTAGTATTTTTCCACTCCCTATGGGCGCTCCCTTGGTTCTTTTCTTTTTAGTAGCCAAGCAGCGCAGCGCATCGTCTTCAAGAACCGTTAATATGCCTTTATTGCAACTGCAGCGGTTCCCATTCGATTCATACTTATTCGGATCCACTACGGATTAAAGCTATATTGTCTGGCCGTGTTTTGTTTGATTTCTGACTTGCTGACTCGGCTTTCCATTGCGGCATCTTCGTCGACATCGCTATTACCATCACCATCAAGGGGCATCATCATCACCATCATCGCCATCCAGATAGCCTAGGGCTCGAAACCCCAGCGAACTGCATGTTTATGCTTTATGTTAATCACTTTTGTTGTTTATACTTTTACGAGCAGCTGGCTTTTGCGCTATTGGACCTTCCTTCCTTGTTTCTCGCTTTCTGGCTGGCTTTCATTCATCCACTGGGCCTGGCTTTTGTCTTTTCAGCCAGCCAGCACGCAACGCACTAAAGAAATAAATAAATAATAGTAGCGCAACGGTTGTCTATGGAGTCTATAGAGCCAAGGATACGCAGACCTAGTACCCAGTATTCAGTACCCAATCCCACTTTTCTAGCAGCGCTTTTCCTCAGCCACTTGTCGTGGCTTTTCTTGTTTTCTTGTGTGTGAAAAACTAGTCTCATCGCACTCGGCTTTCAGCCTGCAGTTTCTGAAGATAGCTTCAGTTGGTCGCGAGGTGTTTGCGTTGTCGGTTGTTTCGGTTTGAAGAGCGCGATGCGAGTGTGTGGATAGTGCTGAAGATCAAAGGAAAAGTCAAGTGAAAATCTGAAGAGCCTGCCAGGATATGGCAGCCGAATATTTTTGGGCTCTCCCCTTGGCCATTATTGGGCTGTTCGCTGTGGGCCAAGCGGCGAAAACGGGACAAGTGCAAGGCAAGTTGCTAAGTTATGGCCCGAAAGCCGTTATAGCCTTTTTAAGTTGGCGGGATCTGTTCATAAATCTCTCGGCTAATGCGTGTGTTTGTGTGTGTCCCCCAGTCCCAATCTCTCCATCTGAGCGGTGCTAATGTGTTGGTTCGCGTAAATCAAGTGCTGGACGCAGTTTGTCGCCTAAGTCTTTCGTTTGCTGCGCCTGCAACTCGTTTGGCTCGTTTGCAGACCGTTAAATAACCCAAATTTCGTATTTAAATGCTGGTGCGACAGCTTTTCCTCAGGCGCTGGCGAAAAATGTGCAAGGAAATCGATTTATTTTGAGACCATTATCTCGATGCGGCAACCTGTCGATTTGTTTATGCAATGACTGACAGCTGACCCACTTAAAGCCAGCCGCCTTGCCCCATCCCATGGACATGGTCTGACCCATATCGTTAACCTGCTCCTGCACCTTCCACCGGCCAAGTTAGTAAATCTGCGACTGCGACTGCGACCGCGACCGCCCCATCGTGAACTCGAAAACCCGACTTGGGAACCCAAGTGTCGCTGGCGGAGTGAGTGTGTGTGGCAATGTTCTAATTAAAACTTAATTTGTTTGTCTTACTTGGAATGACCGCCTGAGCTTAATGTTCTAGATGATGGCTAAACGCGGAGCCAAGTATGAATGGCTAAATTGTTGCTAGACAACGTACCGCCAGCAAGTGCTAAAGTGTTCGGGCCACATGTGAATGGTGCATATGAATTACATATAATTTCTGTTTTATGAGAACAATGAGAATGACATTTATGTTGTGGGAAATGAGTTGAAGAACCGTTACGAAAAGTCTTCAATCTTTAAAGTGTTAAGTGCAATGCATAGTGATTTCAATGTGACTGCCAGTAAATGATTGGGAAATGATTTCCATGAAAATCATATGTGGAATACAATAAAAAAACGAAACGCATGGATAAGAAGAGGGGCATCTCGAAAGATTTTATAACCTTAAAGGGGAAAATGTTTTCGATTAATTTTGGAATATCAATGAAGTGGAACTGAAAAGTTTTTGGTTCTGATCTACCAGTTTCTTGATGCCGTTATTCCCCAAGAAAATAGTATGGGATCTATAAAATGTGTAACGATCCAGAAAAATTTTTAGGAACTGATTTTAAGACTTTTATAAAAGTGTATGTACGTTTTTATTTTTATTATAGTTAATCAATGTAGGTTTTTAGCCAAAATTCTTTAAAACATATTTTTTTCTTTATCTTGTTGATAATGAATTATTTTTATTGTTTAATAATATTGCCTTAATATAAAAAAGAATTTATACCAATTTGTTAACAAGTAACAAGCAATCATTTCATAAAATAAAATGTGTTCATTAGACTAATCAAATTTTCTGTTTTACAATCTCAATAACTTTTATAAGTATCTGTAGGCATTCGTATACGATTTTTTTTATAGCTCAATATATATACGAAAGGCACTTCATTTTTTATTAAGAGGGGAAACCCTCCAACGCCAACAGTTCACACCGAAGTGAGCCAGAAACTGCAAGTAAATAATAGAAATTGCAACTCAAATTACAAGTGCGGTAGTCACTGCGGCGAAAATGGAATAAAACTAAGCCACAAATAAGACAATAAACCAGCAATGCCTACGACGACAAGGGGCCACCGACAAAGTCTCCGGCAAGCAGAAGATACTTGAGGATGGCCAAGATTTCACTGCATCTGCATCTGAAAGCAACAATGATAATTTCCCGCTGCAGGAGATCTTCCGAAAAACAAGAAAGAAAATGATGCTCGGAGAAATGTCAGCGAGTCAGACGATGCGATGTGGTTGTGTCGTCTTCTCGTCTTCTTGTCTTCTTGTCACTCGGAACGCATTTGGCTGGGATACCTGAGGCCCAAAAGCCAGTAGTCGAGCCGTGGGCAAACAAAAAATGCTTAATTATGTCATGAGGGTGGGAACTAAAGCAGCAGAAAATAATTTGCAAAGGCTGATTGGAGCAACTCCATGCTGTTGCTTGAGAGATCGAGAGAATCCGAGACAGGGAGACAGTTGAATGCATGTGGAAAAGTGTTGCAACTGCACATGAAAACCACAGTCGAATGGGCCACGCGACAAACGTAGAAAGTTTTTGGTTAGATGGCGCCATGCCAGTTCTGCCACGCCCCCTTACCAACAAGTCCCCACAATTTGCACCGCACGTCGCTGCGATTTTCCAATTGTTGTTTCTGGCGCTTTTCCGTTTTCAGCTTTTCAGTTCTCAGAGTGCGCGAACGAAAATTTGCATGCCCAAATAAACAACAGCGACAATTTGTCAAAGTTTTACTTTTCTTCTACATGCCACACATAGTAATAGTAATCTCTGTAATCTCGTGCCCCACTTTTAGCCACCTCCGGCAGTTGTGCGTTTCACACGCTCGACGGCGTCGCCGCGGAAAGCGAAGGTGTGCGCTTCATCCGACTGCGCGAAGACGCCCAGGTGGGCAAGGAGATCCTCCGGCTGCAGGCCTATCCGCGCTCCACGGCCTCCTTGAAAGGAGCCGATGCCAGCGGCGACCACAAGTACTTCAGCCTCACGGAGCACAATGCTACCACTTTGGTGGTCAGCCTGGCGCGCTCCCTGGAACGACTGGTGGACCGCGATGTGCCCCGGAACCTGCTCAAGTTCCGGATCCTGTGCGCCGGCAAGCAGGAGAAACTGGAGGAGGTGGGTTGTCTATGCCAAGCTAGTTTTAGTACTTGAAATTTCATTTAGTCTTTTATGATATACCATTCCCAATAACATAATTTGTTTCTATAAACGTTTCCAAAATATTTGATATCATTTTACATATTATGTGGAAAGAAACCATAGTTTTTCTAAGACATATAATATAATATAATGCCGAATTTAAAAATTCTAGTTAATCCTTTCCCTTTGAATAGTACTTATTTTACCTACAAACTTAAAATACTCATTATACTAACGTTTTAGAAATTTATAAAATAAAATACTCTTAAAAAGTAAGAGCTTTGAATGTTTAAACAGAAAGTTCAATTAGAAAACGATTAAAGACTCTATAATATAGAGTAATTTAAATATGCTATCAAAACTTTTTATCCATAAATAAGTTACAATGCTTTAGGCCACAGCAGCTATAGCTACAATAAATACCAAGGTTATAGGCAATATATAATTTCCTCTTAACCAGAAAATAAATAAATAAGTTATAATACCGTTTTTAACAATCTGCCTACAGGGTAGCTACCTTTCTATCACCGTGTACATCGAAGATGTGAACGATAATGCTCCGGAATTTCTCAACGTACCCTACGTCGTCGATGTGGATGAGAATACATCCATTGAGAGCATTATCTTCGAGGGAGTACAGGCCTTTGATCGCGATAAGCCGAACACCCCCAATTCCGAGGTGCACTTCAGCATGTCCACGGTTCCTGAGCAATTATCGGCCGATGGGAGTCCGTACTTTGCCCTCAAGAGTCCCCATCGACCACTGCTCATCCTGAAGCGGGAACTGGACTTTGACAATGGCATCAGGCAATTTAAGCTGCCAATATTCGCCTGGGATCGAGGAACTCCTGCCAACCAGGCAAACACCACCATTACAATCAATGTGCGTGATGTGGACGATCTGCCGCCGAAATTCACGGAAGGTGTCTATCGAACAAGGATCAATGAATTCTATCCCATGACAGGGGTTCCCATAAGGATACCCCTTTACTTTGCCCCACCCATAATGGCCTTCGATCAGGATTCGTTGAACGCTTCGCTGGTGTACGAAATAATTTCTGGTAATGAGCGTCAGCTTTTCCGGGTGAATCCCCACAATGGGGTCATGTATCTGCAGAAGGAAATCGATCTGGAGGAGGAGAGTCTGCCCGGCAACACTTTTGTTCTTCAACTGGAGGCGCGGCAGAAGGATAATCCGCTCAAGAAAGCTTTAGCACGGTGAGTAAAAGGTTGTAAAAATTACCAATAAATCTTAATCTCTTATTAATAATAGCATCGAAGTGGAGGTTCTGGATCTGAATGACAATGTTCCCGAATTCGAGGCTGATTTCTACAACATTTCCATTGTGGAGAACCTGCCCACTGGCTTCAGTGTTCTCCAGGTTAATGCCGTGGATCGCGATCAGGGCGAAAACTCGGAATTCCTGTACAATCTGGTGGAAACTAAGGATGCAGCGGGTGCTTTTCGTATAGACTCCCGAACCGGTTGGATAACTGTGCGCGATGATCGCTTGTTAGATCGTGAACAGCGTAGATCTGTTCAACTGAATGTGGAGGCGCTGGAGAGGAATCCTTCGTATCTGGATGATAAGCATCTGAAGAAGCCGGGACCCAGCAAGGTTCAAGTGGAGATCACGCTGCTAGACACGAACGACAATACGCCAAAGTTTGAACATGGAAATCTATATGAATTCAAAGTGCCGATCAATGCTCCCACCGGCTATAAAATAGGTCAAGTGGTCGCCCACGATCCCGACGACGGTCCCAATGGTCATCTGCTATACGAACTGCAACGTCCGAAGGGCAGTGGTTATATTCCCTTCCGACTGGATAACAAGAATGGCACTATCTATGTGGGTGGACCTCTGAGAAGGGGACGCATTGCAGTCTTCGTGGAGGCCAGTGATCAACCTACCAATCCCTCAGAGCGTCGATTCTCCTTGGCAGTAATCACCATAGAAGTTTATGCCACTATTGATGACCAGGCCATTGATTTCGTGGGTGCTCCCTATGAATTCTGGGTGGGTGCGAATACCCCTTTGGGCAACTCAGTGGGTCAAGTGCGAACTACTTTGATCTATGACGGCGAGGATGAGATAATGTACGATCTACTGCACACTTATTCGGAGGGAGTGCCCTTTGCCATCGAAGAGAGATCGGGCATTATCACAGTCATTCGAGAGCTATCGGAATTTAAACGAAAAGTCTACCAGTTTGAGGCGGTGGCAAATTATGTGAGTTTAGGTATTATTAAGTTAAAGCTATTTTTACTAAATTTATATTACATTTTCTCAGCTCTTTGCCAACTCCTCGCAATCACTGGTAATGTCACGTAGTTCATCGCCTTTGACCACAATAGCCTCGCCCGGTGAACTCAGCGATGAAGGTGTACTCATCACAAATCTGACCATTCATATCGTTAGCAAGCCGGAGCAAAAGGTGCCCTTAAGACCTGTAATAGAGTAAGTATCATTTTCACTTTTCAAACTAAAGTCCAATTGGTCTAAAAGGTTTAATGGGTCTTGAGAAAGAAATATAAATAATATTTCCCTAAAACATATTTAATTTCAGAGAGATCAACATGAACGTCATCAACTTCCATGTGGAGGAGAACGTTGTGGGCGGTATTATTGGACAATTGCTGTACAAGAATGGCATTAATCTGGTTAACAACGAACTGGGAACTTTCCGGGAAATGCCTGCAGAAGCCACTGGACGCAATCTCACCATGGGCAGCAGATTCCGCAGCCGAAACCGGAGTCGCAGTTCCAAGTCAAAGCGTCGATTGCCCAGACGTTTGGTGGGCGATACGAATCTGAAGCTCCGCTACATCATTGCCAATCAGCAGGAGGTGGTGAACAAGATCTCAATAACGGAGGATGGAACCCTGCTCACCCTGATTGGACTGGATCGAGAGCAACAACCGAGCTACGAGTTAACCGTGATTGTGGAGTACAGCACGGGATTGGTGAGTGGAGCCGGGATCTACCAGGTGAACATCAAGGTGGACGATGTCAACGATAATGCGCCCAAGTTCAGTGCACTTACATACGTCGGTTTGATCAACGAAAACTGCGCCGTGGGCACGGAACTATCGATGAATCATGCGATTCTCATCCAGGATGCGGATGAAGGACCAAATTCTGAGTTCAGAGTTCAACTCCAAGGCGATTATAGCGAAGAGTTCAGTGTAGAGTATGTAAATGGTAGTAACACCTCAGGAAATACCACTCAGCACAAGATGCCGCCCACAACGGGGGCGTTTAATATCTTTAATCTCACGGATCAGTGGAACGATGAGTTCAAGTACCAGGAGTTGCACACCACCTTTATGCAGACGAACTTTAAGCTCAGTTCTGGTCCTTATTTCCGTATCTCCTATACGGGAAAGCGAGGCTTGGATCGTGAGAAGCAGCAGTTGTATAACCTGAAGATTATAGCCACCGATACCGGGGGTCTCTCGGGCTACGCACATCTCACTGTTCTCGTGGCCGATGTTAATGACAATGCTCCGATGTTTGAGCGCATCTCGGTGTTTAAGGACTCGCGTTTGGAGATCCGTGAGTATACCACCGACATGGAGATTTACTTTGTGGAGAGCTCGAGTGGCCTGGCAGCTCCCCAGGCAACGGCAGCCATTATGCTAGCCCCACCGCCGTATCACATTCCTGGATCACCGAGGTTCAATACGGGAGATCGTGAGAGATCTGTGGGATCGGGATTGGGTGTGGTAGCCAGGGCTAAATCGCGTCGCAGAATGGTTCGTGCGGTGTCTACTAAATGTCCCCTTTTTGCCATCTATGAGGACACGCCGGTGGGCACGAAGGTCCTTCAACTGAGCGCCAGCGATGAGGACTACGGCAAGAATGCCCAATTGCACTACGAACTCCGCGGTGAACAGGTGGAACGGACACCCGGAATGCCCATGTTGCGGGTTCAGGGAGTGCGTTATTTCACAATCGATAAACTCAGTGGAGAGTTATCGGTGAACTATCCCCTATCAGCCAACATTGAGATTTGGTTGAACCTAACAGTGACTGATATAGATGGTTTGAAGGACTCCACGTGCCTGCGATTCACCGTGATGGACGTGAACAATCATGCACCGACGTTCAAGAAGTCCTGGTACAGTTTCGACACCCCAGAGGGGGAGTACAAGGATAGCGTTCTGGGTCAACTGACCGCCATAGATATGGACTTTGGCGAGAATGCGAATATAACGTATACGCTCAGTGACTCGCACCTGCCGTTTACCATTAAGCCAGCCTCTGGAGTTCTCAAGATCAGCGGACAACTCGATCGAGAGTTGAAGGACAAGTACAGTTTCCAGGTGATGGCAACTGATAATGCGCCAATGATGCAACGAATGTCCAGTAGCGTGGATGTGGAGGTAAATGTCCTGGATATCAACGATAATCGTCCAGAGTTCATTGGCTATGATGATCAGACAAAGGCGGTCAAGTTTATACCAACTGTGGCGGATCGCACGATGATGTTGCCGGTGTATAAGGCCTATCTGGATCGCAGCACCCAGCCGGGCACATTTGTGCGCCAACTGACGGCCATCGATAAGGACAATGTGGGCAATGGCAATGGTCTGGTATTGTACTCCATTCGCCATCAGGAAATGCAGGCGCCACTCTTCCAAATCGACTCGCGGGATGGTACCATCTCTACGATATCCCGGATCAATGGCTATAACGATTACGAGCATCTGAATGTTTCGGTCATAGCCTCGGATGTGGGAAGTCCAGCGTTATCCGCGACAGCTGTGGTCATAGTGAATCTCCAGGGACAGGCAGTTACGGATCCTCCAAAGCCAACGGCTAAGCCAGAACCTCCAGCGAATGTAACCATATTCCAGCACGCCTACTATGAGGTGAAACTCACGGAAAACAACGAAGCTCCCATCGAGGTGATGCGCTTGAATCTGAGTGCTGGTTTGAATCCCGAAAACTACCGCTGGTCCCTGTGGCTGGAGGAGGGTCTGGACGAAACGGATGCCCATCCGCCCTTTGAGTATGATGCCAAGAATATGCTTTTGTATGCCCTCAAGCCCTTCGACAGGGAGCACATTTCCCGGTATCAATTGAGGATTCGAGCGGATCGATTGAGCAGGGAAGCTAGAAATTATGCCAGGGTCTCGTATCCGGTGGTGGATGAACGAATTGAGGGTCTGTCGCTGAACGAGTGTCGAATCCTCGTCCACATAGCGGATGAAAATGATAATTCACCCAAGTTCCGAGGAAATGGACAACCGATTGTGGCGGTTCTCCCTCAAAGTGCCACCTTTGGCTATCCTGTAACGCGAGTCGTGGCCAACGACTTGGACGAGGGACTTAATGCCGAGATACGCTATCGACTGCTAAATGAGCCAACTAGACTTTTTGGCATCGACGAGTTGTCCGGTAATATTCGCCTACTGGGGGATCTTTCTCGCGACGAACGTATCTACGGTTTCGATGTCAAGGCCACGGATCGAATGGGTGCCGATGATGGCAGGAGTGGCATCGTTAACGTCTTTGTCTACATCATCGATGAGGCCAAACAGGTGCGTCTCGTGGTGGCCGGAATGCCCGTGGAGGTGGAACGTCGCATTGAAGGACTCATGGAGGCGCTGAGCGATGCCATTGGCAAGGATGTGCGAGTGAGATTGCTGGAGCCATATTCTGGAGGGCTAGAAGCAGCGTAAGTTTTGATACTTAATTAATATATAATATATAAATAAATATAAATATTAATATCATATTAAATGTAAATATTTTTATTTTGTTTTATTTTCGCTTTTACCAATTTTAGTTAATTTAAGAAATTTAAACTTTTGAAATTAAGTTATATTAAATATTAAAAACGCAATTTTAAAGTTTTCCCATTTAATTAAAATATTATTTATTTATTTATACTATTTTTTTAATCATTGGAACTCAATAAACAGGATCAACTCTATTTCTAAAACAGATGGTACCATACATAAAATATTTTGTAAACATTACCAGTTTCTTTTTTTAAAAATAATACATTTTTAAACCAGTTTTATTTAACAATAACTAAATGCAGGCGAAATATCAAGCCTAATTGTGTCAAATAGTGATTAAAGCACCTTAACCTCATAAACTCATAACTTAGAACTCCCGAATGTAATATAGTTAGTAACAAAATGTGCAGTTTGACCGCATTACATAAGATAATTGGCCATTAGTTGCAATCAAAAGACTCCCGATTCATCTAACAGGTTCTTCTTCTCTCTCCATTTACAGCACCAATGCCTACATCTATGCCGTCGATCCGCACACGAATTCCATTATGGAAATGGAGCAGTTGCAGGAGTAAGTTTTCCTCGCTTTTCCCCAATCCATCCCCTTCCCGCCGCTGTAGCGACCAAAAATCGATTGACCCACAACTGTCATGCGAATTAATGATCTTGAATCGTCTTCTTTTCTCTTTCCAGCTCCCTGGCTGGCCTCCAACTGGATGCACTGCAGCTGCAGCAACAGAAGCTCGATGGCGGCAAGCCCATGCCTCGCATTATCGAGCTTGCGGAGTTTGGACAATCGCCTCGGCCCACACACGCCTCCGCATCCAGTTTCATGGGAGGATTGGAGTTCGTGACAGTGGTTCTGCTGGCCCTCGTCAGCCTGGGGGCACTGATGGCCGCCTGTTGCTACCTGTGCATGCGCCAAAAACGGTATGAATGAATATCGTACATATCGTACAAGTGCAACTTCAACTGCAACCGAAAGACTGCTTACTGGGCGCTCTAATGTAGCTCATAGATGCATTTCATGTTAGCCATAGTTTTAGTTTAAGCTCAAGGCCCCCATAATAAATCTTAAGTCAATTGCAAATGTTGTTGTTGCTGCTGCTGCTGCTGCTGTCGGTGTATTTGTTGCTGCTGCTAATGGCCATGATACCATGGTCATGGCCAATGTGGTTGATGTTTCTAAGCCTCTGAATAAACCGGCTGGCATTGGGCCTCTCCTGTCCGATTAAATTATAACGGTAAAAAGCAACAAACACACAACACATCAGTTGCAACAATGCGGCAATGGCAACATGAGGCAATTAGACGAAGATCTTGTGACATCTCTGCAATTGCATCCCAAATGGGAATGCCAATCAAATCGCCTCTCATCCCATCAACTCGGCTCATCCTGCACAGCGAAAAATGTTGTATTCTTCTTTATGCTATCAACGGTCTCATTGGAGAAGAAAATTAAGAAAACCCAAATTTAATATATCAATTTTCTATTTCATTTTATTCCTTAAAATAAAAGATATACTAACACACAATACAAAAATATACAATTGAAATACATAAAAAAACTGGATTCTTGAATTTTCTACAATATATTCAACTATTGGTACTAATCTGAAAAATAAATTTCTAAACTATATTTAATATTATTAATTAGTTCCGATAATTTTTTCCAGTTATCCAAAGCTCTTAATATGTTTATCCCACATCTGATTGCAGACGTCTCTGGTCTCAGCGTGATTTTACCGCCTCGGATGCCGGTCTCACCTATACCATCGCGGGCATTGGATCTCCTCGCGGCCAGAAGCAGCGACGCCAGCGGCAACAGCGACACACTCAACGTTGCAGCAAGGGCAGCAGCACCGGCAGCCAGCGCCCCACGAGCGCCTTTATGCCGGAGTCCGTCTGCTCCTCGGCGCAGACCCAATCGACGGCCACCGCCACCGAGAAACTGGAGCAGCAGTTGCACCATCACCACCAGCAGCAGGCGATGGCCACGCAGCAGCAGCATCACCAGTACCTCAATGAGTGAGTGAATGGCCGCGTCTGGTCAAACGTGTTTCCATTCTGAGGAGAGTGGACACTAACCAAGGCAACCTTTTTCCATCAGGCAACAGCGACAGCAGCAGCGCGAATATATAGACGTACCTCTTCCCAAATCCATTGCCAAAGCAGCAGCGGCGGCGGCAGGAGGTTCGGGGGATGGAAATGTGGGAGCCGGGAGCACTCCATTTGTGCTCAAGTACAATGCCTGTCAGCCGGTGAGCAATCTGTAAGTAAACCCAAAAAAATATTTTTAGAATTTTAAAGTAAATAAATATTTTGAAAGCTTAGGATAGTCTTTTCATTGCGACCTATTTTTCAATACATTTTTTTATCATAAACAAGGGAGACCATTAGATACCCGTTACTCAGCTAAAGGGAGTGAGAGGGAGATGGAGATTTAAATCTTTGATCTCGCATAACTTTTTAACGAATGGTCCGATTTGAAAAATTTATTCTACATTTCGATAAGTATTGATAAACACAATAAAAATGAATTTTCACTTTTCCGAAATCTTTAAAGGTGTGGGCGCCAGACACCTTTTAAAATCGTTTATTAAAAATCAAAAAAACTAAATGTTTACCTATTTTCTTGACAGCAATAACTATGAAACCTCGCTATTCTCACTGCACTCCACGGGTCAGGACTCCGGGGTGGAGTTTTTGAGCAGTCGCGAGCTGTACGAGACCTCGCCGGATTCCTTCCAACACGGTGGCTCCAAGCGCAGCAACAATCCGGAATTACTGTGCCCCAGACACGCCAAGGCCCACTTGGAACTGCGCCAGCCCCATCCAAATACAGACAGCAGGTGATCTATCTGGAATACTTCTTCTGAATTTCAAATTAAAATAAATATTGTAACCCCTTTACCCACAGTGACACCTACGAGGACTCGCTGAAGACCGATGAGCCACTGGTGGCTCACAATTGCCGCAGTGCAAACTGCGAGCACCGGCAACATCAGCAGAAATCCAACCACCATCCGCACTACCAGAACACGCGGTTCGAGAAGCGCTCCTGCGTGCGGCACTCCTTCTCGGGGGTCAAGGACGACCTCATGCAGCAGTCGCCGCAGATCTCGCTGCGACCCCGGGGCCACGCCCTCCGGAACTCTATGAACGACCTGGAGCAGAGGTTGCACAACCTGGAGCAGTCCTTTCGCCGTCCGCTCGAATTTAGCAAATCAAATTCATTGTTTTAGGTTTTTTTTTAGCTAGAAACGCAGTGCAATTTGTAGTTTAGTCAACTTAGCTTAGATGTTACATGTTAAGAAACAAGTGCAATAAATCTGACAGTTATTAATAAACATAAATTAAAGTAGTCGATATTTTTTTAATTACAATTTATTTGTTTAAAAATATTAATTTATCCATTCATGTTTTTATACCCGTTACTCGTAGAGTAAAAGGGTATATTGTATTCGTGCAAAAGTATGTAACAGGGAGAAGGAAGCGTTTCCGACCCCATAAAGTATATATATTCTTGATCAGGATCACTAGCCGAGTCGATCTAGCCATGTCCGTCTGTCCGTCTGTCCGTCTGTCTGTCCGTCTGTCCGTCTGTCCGTCTGTCCGTCTGTCTGTCTGTATGAACGCTGAGATCTCAGAAACTATAAAAGCTAGAAGATTGGCATTTTGCATGTAGATTTTAGGAGTTCCTACGCAGCGCAAGTTTGTTTCAAAATGGTGCCACGCCCCCTCTAACGCCCACAATCGCTTATATACGATTTTAAAAATTTTAATATTTTGGAAAAGTAAAAATGCAGTTTTATTGTGTTTATCAATACCTATCGAAATGTAGAAGAAATTTTTCAAATCGGACCATTCGTTAAAAAGTTATGCGTGATCAACGTTTTCTCTCTCTATCTCCATCTCCCTCGCACTCCCTTTACCTGAGTAACGGGTATCTGATAGTCGGGGCATCCGACTATAACGTTCCCTCTTGTTATCTTCTCATCTTTACTGTAACTACAAAGTAGTGGTACAAAGTAGATTGGGAATGAGGAAAAGCTTTGCACCATTATATGGTATAATAAATAATATTGTCTTTATAAAATTAAAACCTTAATAAACCTCATTAACCTACTAGCTAGACCAGCTTTATCCATGTACGCTGGTGACTCGCAAGTTTTTATTCCCTGTTAAAAGCCTTTGAGCAAAGGGAACACTTTAAAGGTATTTCCACTGTGTGAAGTACCCAGTGACTTGACTTTGACGGAAGCAGCCAATTCTTACCATTAAAAATAAAATATTTAAATGTGTTCTATAAACAATTAAATATAAATTCAAAAAGTTAGTTAGGGTATTCCCCAATTATTGGATTATACCATTTTTCGTGTCACGACTGGCACATATCGATAGCTGGCGCCAGACTATCTCTGAAAACTCTAGCGATTGGCCCACCACTGACCCGTTCATAAAAATAAAAACTATTATTTTTCCATCGGCCCTGCGCTGTCCCAAATACATTTCCACTTGTCAATCTGGGAGATCCGAACGCCCAGGTGGGAAGACTACTGCAAACAGCTCGACCGCCGGTGGATCTGAACGGAGCAAGGGGAGCAAGCAGCCGAAAGACCAAAGGTTCCAGCCGGAGTCCATTTGCCAAACTGCAGATTCCAAGTCGCACGGAGACGGAGGAGCCGCCATGAATGCACTGCGGCAGTTCTACCTGGAGATCCCGGTGGTCACCCGGGCGTACACCACGGTCTGCGTCCTCACCACTCTGGCGGTGGTAAGTGTGTCTAGCCCAGATTGGCTTTACTGCCTTTATCGAGGCTGACGTGGACGTGTTTAATCGGCGAACTTTGCCAACATTTCAGCACCTGGATCTGGTGTCGCCGCTGCAGCTCTACTTCAATCCCACGCTGATTGTGCGCAAGTTCCAGATCTGGCGCCTGGCCACCACATTCCTGTACTTCGGCACCATAGGCATTAGCTTTTTCTTCAATATGGTCTTCACATATCGCTACTGCCGCATGCTGGAGGACGGCTCCTTCCGCGGACGCAGCTCCGACTTTGTCATGATGTTCATCTTTGGCGGCGTGCTGATGACCTTTTTCGGGATCTTCGTCAACCTGCTGTTCCTGGGCCAGGCCTTCACCTTGATGCTGGTCTATGTGTGGTCACGTCGCAATCCACTGGTGCCGATGAACTTCTTCGGAGTGCTCAACTTCCAGGCGCCCTACCTGCCGTGGGTGCTGCTCTGCTGCTCCATGATCCTGGGCAACACCGTGTGGGTGGATGTGATCGGCATGGGCGTGGGCCACATCTACTACGTGCTGGAGGACGTCTATCCCACGCTGTCCAACGGCTATAGACTGATCAAAACACCTTACTTTTTGTGAGTTCACCTTAAAAATCTAGTGATGTATGTGCAATAACTACTTTTGTGTCCTTAGGAAACGCCTCTTCAATGAGCACATCGAGCACAACTACCAGGCGGCCGCCGAGGATCGTCCCGGCGGCTTTCCCTGGGGCGGCGAGGGTCAGCCGCTGCTGCCGGACCAGGTTGCGAATGCAGCTGGCGGACAGGAGCAGGAGCCGGCGGATCCAGCGCCGCCCGCAGCTGCGGCGCCACAATAACAAACCTAGAAAACTTAATTGTTAAAACGTTCTTCTGTTCAAAACGACGACGACGACGATGACAACAATGTTGTGTACCCCTCCGCCACCTTCCGTTTGGTGATTGGTGTAATTAGGCGTATAGTATTGAGAGAGAGAGGCGTGCAATAGTTAGCCAAAGTTGGTGCAGATCGTGTGTGTGTATATCATTTATTGGTTTAACTTCTGATGCAGAGCCCAATTTCCACGCGATATGTTCTTTAAATTTGCCCCCAAGGGATGCTTTTACGACGGATTGAACCTACACTGCACATGTGATTATAAATATACAAACATGCTACAAATAAACCATGATGTAAAAAGCCCTCCTGTCAGTTTTAGAAACCTTGTTTTGTGCTCTGAAGATGGCTTTCTGTAGGTTGCCTGGTGGCGTAAATAAGCTCTTAATTTAACTTTGCGACTGTCCTTTTTTTAGTTTTATAAATATAATGGATATATGAAAATTGGTAAAACTGAAAGGGTTTATAAATTTTACCACGTAGTGGTTCAACGTAAAATTAAAGATGTAAATAAAACTAACAAATAAATACATATTTTATAATAATTCTTAAGTGGTTTTGAAATGAGCGCCTTTCTTAGCGTTGCCATCTGTCATAATTTTGTAGGCAAATTGAATCCGGTGTTCGACGTTAGCCAACACTGGCTCAAAAACGTTTTTATTCGTTGTTACTTATCGCCCATTATTTGTTTTTTAGCCGGCTAGGACAAACATAGTATTAGTATGTTATATAGAAAATAAACTCAGGATGTCTAGAATTGTGATGAACCAACTGACCCACCCCCAGCGCGTCCGCCTGCTGTACAAAACCATTTTGCGACTGCACCGAGGTGAGATGAGCACTACCTTTCTTATAAGTACAACCCATTTCACAGTTTTCTTTCGAATTCCTAAGGACTTCCGGCCGAACTGCGTGCTCTGGGCGATAACTATGTGCGGGACGAGTTCCGGCGACACCTCAAGTGCAATCCCATGGAGGCGCAGCTCTTCATGACCGAGTGGGCCGTGAGTTTTACGTAATAAACTAAAGAGGTGATCTTCTAAAGAATTCCATCCATTGCAGCGCTATGCCTCCACGATCACCCAACAACTGGGCATACGGGGCAAGCCCAAGGGGCAGCTGGGCGAGGAGATCGATCCCGAGGCCGTGGAAATGCTAAAGGACGACCAGGTGGTTCAATTGTACGAGCTGATGCTGGCGGCCAAGGGATTAGATGAAGTGCAGGGCAAATAAACTAGTGGATTACTTTATTTCGACTGTTTCTCCAAGACCTTGTACTCGTACTTAATGCCATTCTCCTCCTGGACACCCAGTGGCACGTCGGAATCGGGTGATACCTCACGAAAGCTGTCGGGGATGGCGGGAAAGAAGGTGTCGCATTCGAAGGTCTGCTGGATTTTGGTGATGTACAGCCGGTGGCATCTTGGCGAGGCCATGGCCTCCTCGTACACTCCACTGCCTCCGACTATCCAAATGTTTTCCACATCGTTTTTCTCCTCGAGCACCTTCATGGCCGCCTCGAGATTGGGACAAAGGAGCACTCCCTTGGGCAGTTCCTCCTGCCGCAGCGTGGTGCTCAAAACTATGTTCAGGCGATCGGGCAGAGGTCTCTTGCCTTCCGGCACTCCAAAGTAGGTTTTCCTGCCCATCACCACGGCATTGTGCTTGGCGGGATCACTCGTTCGCTTGGTAGTGCGGCTAAAGTATTTCAGCTCAGATCTGCGGGAAAACAGTCTTAGGAATGCAGGAATAAACTTTATGGTAGCCAACTCACTTAATGTGCCATGGCAAATCGCCCTTGATGCCGATGCCAAAGTTCTCGCAAACTGCCACGATTAAATTGAAGCGTAACATCTTTAGGTCTTCCAAAATAAGATAATCTTAAAAAAGATCCAGCAAGCCAGTGAATTTAACAGCTGATCGAGCCTGCGCGGGAACTTTCGTTATTACTTATCGATATCTAAGAGGCACATTCACGTAACGGTTTAAGTGTGGTGCAGTGTTCAATTACCCTCAAAAAAATTCTATAACCTTTTTTAACATTTTAAGGAAACGCAATCTGTGTTAAATTATTGTTAAATTGATCCACTTTTATTATACAAATTTTATAGAGAGTTTTGGTTTACATTTTAAATGAAGTCCAAAAAGCTTCTTGTGCCAAAACATTCGATTTCAACGCTTTTTTCAAATGGTGTTATACTCGCTTTGATGGTAATAGATATTTGGATATGTTACCTCTCGAAACTAAGAAAGAGCATTAGGGTTTAGCTTTTGAAAATATGTTTAATATTTTTTTTGATACTTATACCCTATCGGTGTGTTTTCGCTTTGATTTGTATGCATCCTGGCTTATTTAAAATAAACAAATCTATAGAACTACTCTGGTCCCTCCAATAGCCAGTAGGTCTCCATCTCGCCCTTTCCCTTGACCTTGACAAATCCCCGCGCTTCTACCTTGTATCCCACCTCTCTCACCTTGAGGGCAGTATAGTTGGAAAGCTGAATCATCCAGGGATCGCTGCTGCTCTCCATTCGCGAGGCTGTGTTAACAGTGTCCCCGAACAGGCAGTATCGGGGAACCTTCATACCCACCACTCCGGCCACCACCGGTCCCGAATTTATGCCCACCCGAATGGCCACTCCGGGCAAAGCATGGGCCTTGACCTTCTTCATGACCCGCAGGGCCAAATCACAGGCGTGCTCCGCGTGGAGGGGATTCACATCGGGAGCTCCCGAAACCGCCATGTAAACCATGCCCACAGTCTCCACTTTATACACAAACGGTGAGATGATCTCCTCGTCCAGGGCCGAGAATACCTTGTTCAAGGTGGTTACCGCCTGCATGGCATCCTGTATATTATTGGACCCGCTGTCGTAGACATTCAGCACCTCGATGAAGATGACAGACACCTCCTCGAAGCTCTGGCAGACGTGCTCCTCGCTCTTTCTCATTCTCTCGGCAATGGGACGTGGGATCATGGAGTACAGCAGCTCATCCCCCTGCCGCTTCCACGAATCAGCCAGTTCCAAGGATTTTTCCAGTTCATCCGATCGCTGCTCCTCCTTCTCGAACATAATCTCCAGCTTGGAGCAGTGCTGCCATCCAGCCATGACCAGCTCCCGACTCAGACCATGTGGATTGAGATCGTTCAGGTACAGACCGATTCCGTGCAGCTCATCCAGGTTCTCGATTAGCGGACTGCAGAGGAAGATCAGCGAGTCCACGTCCTTGATGTAGAACATCTGACCCTTGAGCAGGATGGACCGGAGACCCACGGAGTGCCTCCTCTGACCCGTGGCCGGATCGATTTCATCCTTGGAGGTGGCGGCGGCTGCTGCTGCATCCTCCTTGGAGTGCTCCGCACTGAACTCCTTGGCACTGGCCAAGGCCATGGCCTGGGCCTCGTTCAGACTGCTAGCCTCGTCGAAGGTGTCGAAGTCAAAGTTCAGGGCCGCATCGTAGGCGGCTCGGTTGTGACCCGTACGGATGAGTTCGAACTCGAAGAGCACCGTTCGCATCTGCAGAATGGTCTCCCATTCGACCTGCGTGTCCTTGGGCCGCCGGCACTTGAACCGCTCCATGATGTGACTGCCAATGAAGCTCTTGGGATTTACGCCGGGATTGTGCAGGATCCACGTTTCCACAATCTTCTCGCCAGCGAGAGTGATTTTCATATCGTGATCCAGGACAATAGTGAAGGGAAATAGCTCTAGAAACACGTTCAGGTCCACCGAGGGCATCTTGAGCTGCGACGGATGAGCGATGACGTTCACCCGCTTGGCCATATAATCCCGATTGTCAAAGTCCAGTCGATACTTGACAATTACGGTCAGAGGACCCTCGGTGAGCTTGATGGGACCCGCTGTTCCCCCGCAGATGTCATTCTGGCTCTCCAGGACATAGGCAGTCATGTCCAGGCCGTAAAACTCCTTGGCCACCTCCGTCATCTGACCAATCAAATACTTGGACATGCCAGTCCTTCCGCTGCGGTAGAGAATCACCGCTCCATCATCATCCATTGCGGTCAACTGCATGCTGGGCGACTTCATCTTTGGATAAGTAAAACGCATTTGGACATGGATGTTGTCGATGGATTGCAGGAAATCACAGAAATAGCGTCCCGTGGAGCGGATCATCTTGTCGTAGCCAAAGTTACTGAAGAACCGAACGAAGCACTTCCCAAAGAAGTTCATGCAGAAGTCAAAGGACTCGCCCGTACTCGCCGACAGGGCCGCTGCAAAGTCCGGCATCAGTTTGTCCGGATAGATCTGGTGCGTCTTGAAGCTCTGGTGCTTGCAGTCGACTATCTGGCAGACCTTCCTCCAGGTCTCCATCCCGTACTCCTGCTGAATGTAGTGCTGGACGCTCTCGTACAGCATTCCGTACATGGTGGCGATGGGTGTCTGGGTGTCTGGCTGTCTGCGGTTCCTTAAGTCCTGTCTATCGACCAAATTGCTTTCGCAAAAGTTTTCCTGTAACGACCCAAAGTTGGCAGGCAGATTAGCAGTGTGAGGCTGAACAAAGTTTTTCCATCGTTCGCAGCTGGTAATTAGGTAAACTGTGTTCCTACCCCGGAGGATTTAAGTCAATTTCGTTGCCTTGGGTCAGGGATTAGCCTCAGCAAGTCATATATTACTCAAGTGATTGATGGGATTTAGGTAGGAGTCCCCTGTCTAAAAGAATTTAGTAGTAAGTTGAACTTTCCACTCAACTAAAAATCTATTAAACCCATCAAGTCCTTGGGATTATAAGAAATAAACCAAGTATTTTATATTGAGAGATGATAATTTCTTGGTTTTATAGTAAAGCTCTAACTAAGTAGTAATCTAAAGACATCCTAATTTTAGTACTTCATATTGTTAGACATGAGTTACCTTTAAAATGTAAATAAAACAGAGGGATTTTCCTCTTATCTAGCCTTCAACAACACTCAACGAAAGTCTGCTTTTCCTCCATATCATTTGATTTATTGCCCCGACAGTTTAATTTGAGTTCATGTGGCAGACCTCCGTCTTCTCTCACCAATCTCCTTTAAGCCTGTCACGTTCTTGGCAAAAGGAACATGGCTCATTGTACTCTTGACTTATTTCCTTTTGCTGTTGCCGGTAATTCGCGCTGTTGGCAATGACTGCTTTTCAATTTTTTTTCTCACAAAGACTAACTAACTGAGCCATAAATTCTCAAAACATCTTTCAGGAGTTTGAGTGTATTTAATTTTGACCAAAAACATGCAAATTTCTGTCGTAAAAAGTAGATAAAAATGTTGTTGTTCGTGTGGTTAAAAGAAAAAAGGTGGCATTTGATTAATGTTCAGAGAATGTAAACTGTCAAAGATAATATAAAAGGCAAATATTAAATGTTCCTCCTCCGGCAATAATAGGTGGATGTAATTAATGTTTGCTAAAAGATGTAGCTTAATCAGGGAAATAATTTAATAACAGTTTAGTAGATTGTTAATAATGCAGCTCTAATTAATATTACTAAACTCGAAGAGTTACTAATTTTCTTGATAATCTTTTGACGAATTGCTCTTTTTCGATTTCCTAGAAACCCTTTTAAATCTCCTTCTAAATCTCTTTGATTAACGGTCCGTGAAATTAGCTTATTATATCCTCAAGTATCTTGCTTACTTTAAATAGCTTTCCTTGCCGCCTCGTTCCAATCCACTAACTGAATCGCACCAAGTTCTCCAGCATCGAATCGCGTTTGTCTGCACCTCTTAAAGAGTTTTAATTTTATCCGCGCGGCATTGGCTCTTCGCTTATTTATAATTTAAGGAAGGCGTATGTCGACACACACAGCTTCCCGGGATGCGTAAACTCGGTGTGTATATAATATATACGCGCACTTCTCGGAAAACTCTCACTTTTCCGGACTTTCCGTGTTGCGTCGTCGGCAGTTGCTATTGTTACACTAAATTTGTTTTGCCGCCTGTCGCTGCTTCCTTGCCTTCTGGCTGTCTGATTTGTTTCATGATTTCCTCTGACGAGCTTCGTGAGTCTGTCGGTTCGGTCGGTTCTGTTGGTTCAGTCGTTTCAGTCGGTTCCGTGGAGCTTTCCCTTTTCAGCCGGGACGATGTCGGTCGAATGAAGCGTGCCTCTTTGGCGGTCAGACCTTTTATAGCCCACCCACTGCCAAGCTGCAGTTGGAGCTACATTTCCGGCCCACTTAGGACCTACGTGCCTGCGCCTCGACACGCACTTCTCTGTTTGACCATCGTGATCATCATCATCATTTTATACCAGGAACGAAACGTCGCCAGTCAATGCTCTTTGCCTCAATTGCCACTTTCTCTCCTTCCGATACAGTATCAACATTGACACACAACCGAAGGAGTCATTTTTCTCCCCGTTCATTCCTTTTACGACCCACACTCCCTCACATCGTTGTTTGTGTGCTCCGGGTCCTGGCATTCCGTGCAAAGTATTGTCCTTTGGGTCTTCCTACTGTGCTAAAACGAGTTTCCAGGGATGCATAAAAAGGAGTCCTGAACCTTAAAAAAATATATTTTATACTATTGATAACTTTTATAAGGGTAGTTGCTTGAAAGGATTCTATACAAATGGAAACTACTTTCTTATTTGACCAGAACTCCATACCCTTGTAATTTAAAACAATTATAGTTTTTAATATCAGGCGAATAAAATAACTTATTTTAAGTCCATAAGGAACGAAATTCATCCCAAAGCCCTGGAACATTTAAAACAGTCTGTCAAATATATCATTGTTGTAGAGTTTTTCGCTTGGTTCCCTTTCCACTTCCCCGTTTTTCAGATGGAGGGATGGCTTGGGGGCATCTGTACTCAATGCCTTTCCATTTTAACGCATACCTCTGCAATAAAACCCACATATACGTATATGTTTGCCCGAGTCCTGGCCATATTTGATGTGTTGTTTTAAAGCAATTTAAAGAGGATTTCACAGCATCGCACAAAAGGCCTTTTTCGCACTTAACTGAAACGGATTTTAGGGAAAGCCTATTAAATAAACGTTGACAATTTTATGGGCAAAGCAGAAAGGATGATAATATGCCTGGTCCAATATAAGAAGGATATATTTGGGCCTGCTTAAAAGCCACTCAAAATGCCATTAATAACAGAAGTGACAGGCGCGCGTAGCGCAAAAACTTAGTTAATATCTCGTGTTTGGTTTATCAGGGAAATAAGGAATTAACGTAATAATAATTACACAGAAAAAAAGTAAGCAAAAAAGAAACTCAGAAATGGCACTAACATTAAATCATGTTTTGTGACATTGAATGGCCTATTTTTATCAGTGTATTGTATTTATTATCATTATTGCACCGGAATTAATTGCCAACGTCCAGACATTTGAGCTGCTCTTTCTCAGCACACGCAGTGTGGCTTAATTTAATTTCTATAGGGAGAAGGAGAAAGGACCCTGGACCCATCTTTACCAGGGGCTTATGGTTGTCCTTCGTGGCTGGCAAAGATGATGGTGTGCAAAGTAACACGCAAACCGCCCATAAAAGTTATTAAAAATGGATTTTCGGAAATGGGGGCTGTCTGTTGGAAATGACGAAGGCGGTCGGTGAATTTAGCTGGTAATTGAGTACGGAGGATATTGCTGAAATAAGAGCCCTTAGGGATAACAACTCTATTGATAAACCTTTAATAAACCAACTTTGGGAACTAACATATTAAAGTACATAATAACAAAATAAATTCTTTTACCCAGGAACCAAGAAAAGGTACTTATGAATAGAAGTCTCCTTAAATAAATTCCTAATAATTTTGTATTTTCTATAGTTACCCATTTCAAACACAAATCGGAAAGAGCCAAGTTCTCTTTTATTGCAGGGAATTACAAAAGCCACAGGTGTCGTACAATCTTTCAGTGCAAGGTGCTAAACGTTGAGGTGCATTAAATATTATATATTCTTAACCCTCTGGTCCCTCCAGCAGCCAAAAGGTCTCCATCTCGCCCTTGCCTTTGACCTTGACGGTGCCGCGCGACTCTATTTTATAGCCCACTTGGCGCACTTTGTCGCCGGTGTACTTTGAAAGCTGGATCTTCCAGGGATCGCTGCTGCTCTCCATTCGCGAGGCTGTGTTAACCGTGTCCCCAAAGAGGCAGTACCGAGGGACCTTTTGACCCACGACTCCGGCCACCACAGGTCCTGAATTGATGCCAACCCGGATGGCCACGTCGCCCAAATCGTGTGCCTTAAACTTCTTCATTACCCGCAAGGCCAAATCGCAGGCGTGCTCCGCGTGGAGGGGATTCACGTCGGGAGCACCTGAAACAGCCATGTAAACCATGCCCACGGTCTCCACTTTATAGACAAACGGAGAGATGATCTCCTCGTCCAGGGCCGAGAAAACCTTGTTCAAGGTGTTCACCGCCTGCATGGCGCCCTGAATGCTATTCAGACCTTCATCGTAAACGTTCATCACCTCGAGGAAAATGACCGAGACTTCTTCGAAGCTCTGGCAGACCTGCTCCTGGCTGAGACGCATTCTCTCGGCAATGGGTCGCGGTATCATGGAGTAAAGCAGCTCATCACCCTGTCGTTTCCAAGAGTCAGCCAGTTCCAAGGACTTTTCCAATTCATCTGATCGCTGCTCCTCCTTCTCGAACATAATCTCCAGCTTGGAGCAGTGCTGCCATCCAGCCATGACCAGCTCCCGACTCAGACCATGTGGATTGAGATCGTTGAGGTACAGACCGATTCCGTGCAGCTCATCCAGGTTCTCGATAAGGGGACTGCAGAGGAAGATCAGCGAGTCCACGTCCTTGATGTAGAACATCTGACCCTTCAGCAGGATGGATCGCAGACCCTGAGAGGATCGACGTTCCCCAGTGGCTGGGTCTATCTCGTCCTCTCCCGAGGCTTCATCCGCATCCGCGGGATGGGCTTCGTTGAACTCCTTGGCCTTGGCCAATGCCATTGTCTGGGCCTCGTTCAAATCCATTTCATCGTAGTTCTCAAAGTCCATGTTCAAGACGGCATCGTAGGCGGCGCGGTTGTGACCCGTACGGATGAGCTCGAACTCGAAGAGCACCGCCCTCATCTGAATGAGAGTATCCCAATCAATGGCGGTGTCCTTAGGACGACGGCAGTGGAACAAATCCATGACATGGGTGCCAATGAAGCCCTTTGGATTTGCCCCTGGATTATGCATGATCCACGTCTCCACGATCTTCTCGCCGGCATGTGTGATTTTCATATCATGATTCAGCACAAAGGTAAAGGGAAAGAGGTCGAGAAAAACATCCAGTTTCACCGTGGGCATCTTCAGCTGCGAGGGATGAGCCTCCGTATTGACGCGCTTGGCCATATACTCCCGGTTGTCAAAGTCCAGGCGATACTTTACAATCACGGTCAGAGGACCCTCCGTCAGCTTGATGGGACCCGCTGTTCCTCCGCTGATGTCGTTCTGGCTCTCGATCACATAGGCCTTGATCTCCAGGCCGTAAAACTCCCGGGCCACCTCCGTCATCTGGCCAATCAGGTACTTGGACATGCCAGTGCGACTGCTCCTATAGAGGATCACAGCTCCATTATCATCCATTGCGGTCAACTGCATGCTGGGCGACTTCATCTTGGGATAGGTAAACCGCATAATCAGATGGATGTTGTCGATGGACTGCAGGAAATCGCAGAAGTAGCGTCCCGTGGAGCGGATCATCTTGTCGTAGCCAAAGTTACTAAAGAACCGAACGAAGCACTTGCCAAAGAAGTTCATGCAGAAGTCGAAGGACTCGCCCGTGCAGGCGGACAAGGCCTCGGCGATGTCCGGCATCAGCTTGTCCGGATAGATCTGGTGCGTCTTGAAGCTGTTGTGCTTGCAGTCGATGATGTGGCACACCTTCTTCCAAATTTCGACGCCATACTCCTCCTGCACGTAGTGCTGCACACTCTCGTAAAGCATTCCGTACATGGCGGAAGTTCTGAAAATATATTGATAATATATTATTATTTTAGAAATATTTCATTAAGGATTTTGTATTAAATATTTTGTGGAATATTAGTAGTTAGCTTTCTAAGGCATATAATATTTTAGTAATTTAAATACTTATTTAAAAAAGGTAAATATAAAAGCTATTATTGAATAAATAAAAACTGAATAAGAACAGCAAATAACAATTTTATTTTTATTTTATTTATCATTATTATTATTTTATTTTGTATTTTTTTATATTTATTTCGAACCATGTCTAAAAGGATTATTGTTGTAATAGAATTTTTAAATTTCACATACCTTATTCAACAGGTCGGTTTCACTTTTAATCTCTGCTTATTATTCACTCGACACCTTGACGACGTATTTAATTCCTTATTCGAGTAGCTTTTATTTTAGTTTTGGTTGGTAATATTCCGGGGTTAATTTATTTAGCACTCCATGCAAATTTAATATTGGCACACACAATCTGGGGGCATATGCTGACGACAGTTCCCAAGGCAATGGCAATATACACACGCACTATCACGCTGCGAACACATTTTCCATTGTTGTACTTTGATTTTTATTGGATGGGTGCTCACGACTGCGGAGAGGATGCTGTGGCTGTTGCCGTGATATCCTTAGCAAATGTGGACTTTGTGGATCGTATATTCCAAGCTTCGCAGCTCGCATCCAGGACGCGAATGAAGCGCCTGTCGTTTGTCGCCCCGACTTTTATAGTCCCTTGGCAATCGCTTTAGACTCCTCCTCCCCCATTTTTGCTAAGTGGAGGGTTTAGCCCCCTTCGGTAGTGTTACATTTCATGTCATTGCTCCTTGTTGATGCCAATTGACGGTTACTTTTCGATAAAATATCAAAAAATGAAAGTTTTATTGCTTTTATACCAGTAACTTACACGCACAAACGAAGAGACCTCGTAGAGTTTGTCACGTAAATCTTTATAAAGGCTTCCCCGTTTGCCTTAATATATCTTGTAATTTTGTTTATTTTCCTTTTGATGTGGCATTTTTTCGTTGGCTTGTATTGCGCCACAATTTACATTTACTCTTAAGAGGATTTGAAAATTCCGCAGAATAAATCCTGGGAAGCACAAACATAAATGTTGACACTTTAATGGGCATTCCTGGCTGAAGTGATGATAACGGTTAGGCAGGATGGGTATTTGCATTAGCACCCCCTTTTTTTTTTGGTACTCCACAACGGCCATAAACGTGACAACGTATTTAATTAGTGCTCTTCTCCACCCAATTTGATTGGGCCACGTGCAGGAAGGGCGTTGACATCGCACTTGTAGCTCATAATCCCAGGGGCAGACGCAGACCAAACACGCAATCGTGGAATAAAAGTTGTAAAATACGCCAAACGATGAAAATGATGAAACCATTTGATTGATGAGAAGGGCGCATTCGCGGCCACCACAGGACGATAACTAGGCTCCGCCGTGTTTACTTCAAATAATCCCCATCCAATTAAAGCAATATTCGAAATTCGAATCGACAGCACTCGGCTGCTTTTTTGATGCCGGCTCGGTTTACACAATTAGAAATTGATTTCAAGTTATCCGGCATGTTTCAGTTTTCAGAAAATTGATTCTGACAAAATTACTGATAACAAATATATCTTTATAACCAAATAATTCAAAAACATTCCCCACAAGCTGAACAGATTTTAGATAAACTAAAAACTAAAATTCTTATTATACAAAACAGTAAAAAGTTAAATTGAAATTCAAATCTATTATTATTAAAGTACTTAAATTGAAGTAAATGCAGATTTATGATTTTTTATCCGCCTAAGAGGCGCCTCTATATTTATTTTGGATAAGCTTGACTTACTTAAAATAATCCCCAACAAAAGGGAGGCTCATAAATCGCCTGCTCGCATAGAAAATCCAATTTGTTTTAAAAATTTGAATATCTTGATCTATTTGCCCAGTCCGACCTTGTTGAAGAGTTTGTCCTTGACGATCTGAGCCATCAGGCCGTGTATCAGTTCGATGGTTGAGCGGCTGCAATCTCGGGTGGCCTTGGACAGCTTGTCCTCGGAGCGCTTCTCGTTGACATCGGTTCCTGTTTGATGGAAGAAGAACTATCAGTAAAGTGCACCATTCTCAAATTCGACTCGTTTCATGTACCGCGACCTAAGAAGTTCTCGCTCTGCTCCAGCTTCTCGGAAAGGTCCATGATTTGGCCGGTGGTGTACTCCGTGTTGGTCAGCAGACCCGAGCTGCCCAGCGTGTTCACCCAGTACTTGTTCCACAGGGAGTCGAGCAGCTTCCGGTCCAGTGCCGACTTGAAGTAGCTAATTTCCAGCGGATAGTACTGCTTGCAGTGCACGCCAAAGTCCTCGATCTTGTTCAGCGGGATGGTCTGGTACTCCGAGGGCTCCTCATTGGGCGGCTTGTAGCCCTTCGGATAGGTGCGGAAGGCACCCAGGCACACCTTGCCGGCGGAAACAGTGCGCACCGGATCAACCACAATGGCCACGAAGGGCTCCTGGTAGGTCTGATTGAGCATCTGGGTGGACACATCGATGCCGGACAGCCAGCAGCCGTAGCCGGGATGGCTGTGGTACCAGCCCACGGCGTGCTCCATGCGGCCCACCTCCTTGGCCGCCTCCATGTAGGCGGTCATGTACTCGTAGGCCTGGGCCTGGGCATTCACCCGGGTTTCAGTTCCCTCCACAGGCAGCGCAAATGCATCCATGACAATCTGCAAGGAAGTTATATATGTTTCTATAGGAATATCTTCTAAAGCAGACTACCCACCATTGTGTTGTCCTCCACCTTGCCCAGCATCAGGCCCATCACCTCCAGTGTGCCACCCGAGCGGGCGTGCATCACCATCTTGAGGAGCGCCAGAGCCGAGATCTTTATGTCCTTGAAAAAGTGCGGATCCTTCTCCCACGGCTTCGCGTCGATGATCTGGCGCTGCTGCTCCGCGTCATAGCGGAAGATCTCGTCGCAGCTGGGCAACGTCTGGATGTTGTTCTCCAGCTCCCAGGTCTTCTGTGCCGCGTCGGAGTCCATTGCTTGTGTACTTTTTCCCAATTTCCTCGCCTTTTGTTGCGAATTTTTGTTTTATTCCGGCTCTAGTCTAGGGATGACACTTGGAAGGACAATCGATAAGTTAGGTACATGCGATGGCTCGCGAAATGTTATCGCCTTCTTAACTGTGTTGAGAAAGGTATGAATTAGTGTACCTATATTAACCATTAATTTTATTTAATAAATATAATAATTATCAAGGTAATCACAATAATTAAACTCAATAATTATAAAATTAATACATTGTAAAGATTAAATTTCTTGATAATAATCGTCAATATTTTTGGTTTTTTAACATTAAAAAATAACCAACTAATTACTTAAGAAATTATGTGAATAAAAACAATTTCAAATTGTACCTATTTGTTACAGAATATGGTTCTATCTCACCAGGGATGCAATTTATTAATAGTAACTAAAAAATGTTCGAATTTGACTTGCAATTGTGATTAAAATATCAAATTGAGCATAAAAAGTGGTAGTATCCATATAATAATTAAATATCACCAGAGTTAACAAAATGTAATTTAGAAACCACTTGAAACCAAACAAGTTGCCAGTCCCCGCGCCCTCAAATTCAAAAGTAACGCATAAGCCGGCGCCTTCGAGCCGAGTTGGCATTACTTGCGCGTCCATTGCAAAAAAAAAAATTCCTGCACAGAGTTTTCGCTACAATTAACTGACTCTCCGGGAAACTCGTGATGTAGGCCGCTAAAAAAGGCGATTAATGGAAAAGTGTAAACGTAATAAGTGTAAAGATTGTGGATGTAGTGTTTATTTGTAATCGCAGTGCCCCAGATTTCGCAATTGCTTAGCGGCTTTTCACAGCGTTCGCTTCGGTATTCGTTTTCCCCGCACCCAAGCCGCATTTGAGACGCCGCTCGGAAAATGTTCCTGGACGGCGCTAGGCTGCGCTACGAGGATGAAAATGGTGAAACGGTGGTCCTGCCGGCCAAGGGACGCACCTTCCTGGTGGGCTCCTACCTGACCTGCGACCTGTTCCTCGAGGGGCCGCAGGATGAGCGCCTGGTTTGCGAGATAAACTGCGACGCCTTCGGCAGGGTGAGTTTCCTAGCCAGGAAAACCCCTTCTTACCGCTCTAACTTACCGCTGATTCGCCCCCACATAGGTCTCCATCCACAACAAGTCCAGCGTGGACCCTGTGCGCCTCAACGACCGAGTACTCCATGGCAATGGCTGGCGACCGCTGCTCCATGGCGAAAAGATCACCATTCTGGGCAAGGTCTACACCTGGGAGTTCCCCAAATCCTCGGCCGAAACGCAGGATGCCCCAGGCACCCCAGAGCGCCAGCCGCTCAACGAGCCAGCCCCGAATTCCTGCCCCTCGATGAAGGTAAATCCCCGCCAGCAAGTACAGTCTTTCAACTCCTATATGATCCCTATGCTTTCTATTTGCCTTAGCCATCGCATCGGCCGCAGCTCGAAAAACGTTTGACGGTCCACAAGTAAGTGAAAATCAGCAGGCAGACGCCTAGCGAACCGTCTACCTGGCCAACCCCTAAATTGCCTTCAATGTTTTCGAGCAACAACAATAGGAAAACCAACAAAAAATCCCTGCTGCAAGCATGTGTTGCCTTTGACTGCCTGCTGCCTGTTTATAAGTACTCATAAAACCATATATCTTCCCCGATTCCTTTTCAGTTTTCAGTACTGCATCAATTCGGATGACGAGGGCAATACATCCATAGAGTTGGAGGAGAATGTCAGCCTAAATATCTCCACTCCATCCAACGCAGTGGCAGAGGCGTCAACCTGTGTGTCGCCGAAAGTGAATCTTCTGGAGGCCACGCAGAACAAGGAGAACACGGCAACGCCACCGGGCAGCCATAAGAAGCTGCTGAAGCTATGCGCCCTCTCCGACGTGGTCATCACCTCGTTTTCGCCGCGCGAAACAGGCGTCAAGGTGGAGAAGTCCTTCACCTGTGTGCGCAAGCCGGCCCACGCGGCCTCCACTTCCTCTTCGGTGACCGTTTCCACGCCCAAGAGCGTCTATAGCACTCCGAAGGGCGGTGTGCTCTCAGCACTGAACGAAGACAGTTGCAGTAGAGATCTGATGGACTTCTGCACGCCATCTACTTCTACGAAGGCCAAGCGGGCTTCCTCCATGTACTTGATCGACTTGACCACCCCCTCGAAACTGCGGCCAACACCCAAACAGACGCCCATCAGTGTGGACAGCACGGACGAATCGTCCGATGCATCGCCACTGGTCATTGACATAACCAACTCCGCAACGCCACCGTCACCGGGCCCCTCACAACGCTACAAAACTCCCAAGCGGCCGGCTGGCAACACGGGCGCCACGCCAAAGCGAACACCGCAGTCCCTGATGAAAAGGGCGCTGCTGACCAGTACCAAGAAGCAGATCGCCGCCAACCAGACGGATAAGACCACGCCAGTGGCCACCGCCAAGAGGCAATCGCTGCTGGAGGCTCGTCGACAGTGCTTGTCCACGCCACGTCGCCTGCCATTCCATCCGCACAGGCGGACGCCAATCCAACGGCCAGAAGAACATGCGCGAGGCAAGGTGCCCAAAACCTCGCCACGCAGACGAAAATCTCTGATGGAGTCTCCCCGGGAGAACAAGGTCTCCCAGCTTCGAAAGTCATTTGCGGCATCTAAACGCAGTCCCGGCGTTGACAAGAGCAACAAGCTGGTGGCCAAGGCACGACGAGCGCTCAACTCGCCCAAGAGCGGATCCCCCTTGCCGGGCTCACCCAAACCTTCATCGCCTTGTCCGCGAAAAACATTTAACGTTTCCCAAATCAAGAGCTCCACACCTGAGAAACTAGATGACTCAAAGGACGAGCTAAGCCGCACTTTTACCATCATGGATGACACGCAGGGAAAGGAACGCAGTGCTGCAGGAGCGGTTATTGAAGCGGTGGCTGCTCTCATAACAGGCGAGGTAGAGGATGATGTGTCCTTCCAGCTGGGCTCCGTATTTAAGACGAGTCCTTCTCTTAATAAGTCAAAAGAACCTATATTGGTGGAACACAAAGTTGAGGCTACCAGGCCATCAAATGAGAAGGATATTGATACAAATTCTGCCGAGGAAAAGATGAATTCTAAGACAGATGATGCCATATTCATTGAGAATGAATCTAAACTAGAGAATGACTTGGAAACCGATAAGGATCAGGAAGAAACTAAAAGTCCCTCGAATGCAAGTCTTCAAGACAAGGAACAACACGAAACTTTAAGCATTCCTGTCAACGAAAAAGGTGAGGAGCCGATCGACGATAGCATTTGCGAGGAGGTTCATGCAAATATTCCCAAAGGAAGCGATATTGGTAAGCTACAGAATCTTCTGCTTTTATCTAAGCATCTAAATTTAATTGAAATTTTAAGCGCTTTTTAACCAGTGTTATATATTTCCCCCACAGCTAATCCTGAAAGCATAATTGAGGACAACATTTGCGAAGAGGTGCCATCGGACAGTAAAACTACTGGTGAATCTATTTCAATTGGTAAGCTAAGTTCAGAAAAATTCTTTAAAAAAATACTCATTTACTTTATTGCAACAGGCGAGACCAAACAAAAGATGAACGAACAAACTCCAAATGTGAATACCCCTGTGCTTCGACGGAGTTTGCGCCGCCTCTCTGTTGACCAGAAGGCAGTGGCTACAACGCCACGCAGGAGCACTCGGCGATCGTCGATGGAGGCCAGCAATAAGCAGGTCTTGAATGAAAACAATAAGCGCTCACGCCGCGCTTCCTGCTCGGCGGTGGAGAGTCAGCCAGATGTGGGTACTCCGCAGCGCAAGCGAAGACTCACGCAGGAAATGTCGACACCAACGCGACAATCGAAGCGTCTGCTAAACACGCCCAAGCGGGAACTTCAAGTGGACGAATCTGTTGGCGACATGGGAGTCATTTTAGAAGAAGCTGGTCAAGAAGATGGTGAGCTGAGTCAAAATACTCTTATTGTAGTAGTTTCATTTAATTCACTTATGATTTGATACAAATCTTTTATATTTTATAAACAATTGCCATCTTTCAAATAGAGGGAACATATTTTTATTGAAACAATATTTGTTACAGAGGAGAAATCTGCCATCGCTGACGACGAGAATTATGGCAACGAACTGCCAGCCGATGAAGTGGACAAGGTTGACTACCACGGCCTGAGGGATTTGTTGAAAACACCCAAGAATTGCAGCACACCGCGCTTCAAAGGACTGCGGGAAATGATGCGCACTCCGAAGATTCCCGCCTCACCAATTTTGAGCAACATGGCCAAGCTGTTGGAAACTTCTGTGGGTAACACTCCTCACCACAAGAGCAGGAGCACGACAGTGGCTCGCGTGGAACAGGGAAAAGCACTGGACGGAATTTTAAAGACGCCCAGCGCCAGGAATATAATGGTGCCCAATGAGCCAGCTAGCGCGGTATTAAAGTCTCGCGTGGATTCCTTGGCGGCGACCACTGAATATGATCTGAACATGACAAACACCACGTTGCATCTGGACAAGATATTCGACGATGTCCCCGAAACGAGTGGAGCCCATTTGGAGGACACCGAAACCGAGATAAATGTGACTGCGCTCAGCACAGCGACGAGTGCGGATCCCTTGGGTGCCTCAAAGCTAAATGAATCCGTATCATCCGAGGCTCTGATGAGTGTCTGTCATAAGGATCATAAGGATCACAAGGATCCTCTGACAAGCACCACATACAAGGCAGCTTTGCAGGCCGATCTCAATCTAAGCGGCATTACAGATGCTGGCTCCAGGACGACCTCGCCAAACCCAAACGAGATGAGTGGCATACAGTTGTTGGACCAAACTTCCGACTCTATGTTCTCCGAGGCTCTCGTGGTGTCGGCCGTGGACTCGTGCGACGTCACTGTTGATGAGACGAAGGCTTCGGGGCAAACCATTCAGCCTACGGATAACATTGAGGATCGCTCGGACACGGACTCAAACGTTGGCCTTACCGAGCCCTTGGTGTTTAGTGATGACGAGGAGCCAGAGGATTCCGAAGTCTCTCCCAAAAAATCGACTGATTTCGGGGAACCATCTGTAGCTTACAAACTAGAGGAATCCGCTGATTTGCCTGAAAACAAATCTGCTAAAGACACATCAAGTATAAATGAAATATCTCTGATTGAAGTTGAAGATACCACATTAGAGGGCAGTACTAGCGAAGCAAATGTACAAGGTGACAAAGATCAAGACGAGAAATCTCTGGAAATTAAACTCGATATTTCCAAGGATGAGGAGTCACCAGCTGAAGAAAATAATGAACCCCCAGCGGAGGAATTGACTATCATAGAGTCTGAGATATTTCCTCTGGACTCAACTGCAGATAGTTCCGTTAATTCTTCCAATGTTCTCAATTGCAATGAAGAGAAGATTTTACCTAAAGTTGATCCAAAACCAGACAATTTAGAGTCGACGAATCTTGATGATGGCGAAACAAAAGAAGTTTTAGTTGAAAAAGCTACAGAGAAAGGCGTTTCTCATTTGGATAAATCAGTCATCGAAACATCACCTGCCGAAAAGACTACCGAAGCAGAAACCACTCAAGCGCCGATTGAAGCCTCGTCTTCCAAAGGAGAATCAACAGAAATCAAATCTGATGTGGTGCCGACTGCTCAACCAGCCATAGAAGTGCACACTGTTGCAGAATCTGATCAACCAGTCATCGAAGCAACACTTTCCGAAGAACTCTCCGTTGAGAACCAATCTGATGAAGTACATCTTTCAAAGAAAACTAATCCTAAAGAACCCATTGAAGAAGGGACTACTCAATCAGTCATCGAAACATCATCTGCCGAAGAAGTTTCAGAAAAAGGACAACCTGAAGAAGTGCCTACAGATCCAGAATCTAATCAAATTGCCATCGAAACATCACCTCCCAAACACCTTTCCGAAGAAAATATTCCTGACGAGGCTCCCACGCATGGGGAAACTGATCAAGAAGTCACACAAACTTCTCCTGCCGAGGAACTTCCTGATAAAATTGAGGAATCCAATCAACCTGTCATCGAAACATCACCTTCCGAACAACTTACCGAGGAAAACAAAACCAATGAGGTGCCCAAAGATAGTGAAACTGAACAGCAAGACATCAAAACAGCATCTGACGAGGAAATTTTAGAAGAAGTCAAGCCTGATGAGGTGTCTACTGATGCAGAATCTAATGAACCTGTTGTTGTAACATCGAGTCCCGAACCACTTTCCACAGAAAACAAACCAGATGCAGATGAGGTGCCCACCGCTGGAGAAACTGATCAGGAAGTCATCAAAGCAGACCCTTCACAGGAACATTCAGAGGAATCCAAGCCCGATGAAGTGCCCACAGATACAAAATGTGATCAATCTGTTATTGTTTCCAAGGAAAATAAACCTGATGGCGAAGCAGATCAAAAGGTCATTGAAACCTCTCCTGCGAAAGATCTTTCAGAGGAAACCAAACTTAATGAATCCATTGATAATAAACCTAATCATGCTGTCTTCGAAACATCACATGCCGAGAAACCTGCAGAAGAAGCCAAGACTAATGATCATCACCAAACTGATTCCAAATCGAATGAATCCGTTATCGAAACATCACTTTCCATACAACAGGAAGTCATTGAATCTCTCGAGGAACTTTCAGAAGAAGTTAAGGCTGATGAGGTGTCCAGTAAAACATCCAGTCCCAATCAACTTTCCGAAGAAAATCAACCAGATGCAGATGAGGTTCCCACTGATGGTAAAACTGATCAAGAAGTCATCGAAACATCACCTTCGAATGAACCTTTGGGGGAAGCCAAACCTGATGAGCCCTCTAATCAAACAGTCAGCGAAACATCACCGGCCGCGAGAAATTCCACAGAAGCTTATCTTCATGATGTGTCCACTGGCGAAGAAGCTGACCAACTAGTCATCGAAACATCACCAGCCGAAGAACTTCCGGAGGAACCCAAACCTGATATTGAAAAGAACAATGACGCACCAACTGAAGATACACCTAAATCAAAGGAGCCACTTTCATCTGGAAGCCCGAACATCAACCAAAATGTTGGTCAAGATAAAATTGAACCATCACTTGCCGAAGAAAGTCCAGATGAAGCCAAACCTGATCTTAAAAAGCACAATGATGCACCATCTGAAGAAACACCAAGTCAAGCAGATAAGCCACTTTCATCTGGAAGCCCAAACATCAACCAAAATGTAGCTCAAGATACAATTGAAATCGTTGATACTGGTGACAGTGCAGCTTTCGATGAAGTCTCTGCTATCGATGGTGATCAATTTGAGGATCAACAGACTACTCAAATCGAATCTGTGATTATTTCCTCTGACTCTGAAGACAAAGAAGAACTTTCGGCCGACTCAAATGCAGCTATGAAAGAAACTTCTGTTGAATTGTCTTTCAACGCAACAATTGAGATCGAAGATTCTGAAGATGAGGATCCGAAGCAGGATGATACACCAACGCGCCAAGTCGCCAATGTTCCTGAGCAAATTGAAGATGAGCTGGGAGTGAAAACTGTTCCGGAAGCCGACTGTATTGCTGAGCAATCTTCTGAAAAAGTAGAACTTAAAAGTGAAAAGTCGTTGCCTACGGATACAAGCGAAGCTTCTTCAAGTGAAGCCACAAATGAAAGCCCGAAGGTCTCTCCTCATAATGAAAGTTCGCATAATGAAGAATTCTCCATGGTGCATGAAAATGAAGTTTCTTCCATGAAGGAATCTTCAAAGGAAGTGAAAACTGCGGATAAGAAAGACGAAGAAGTATCCAATGAAAACGGTAATGTTCCGAGCTTAATGGTTCAGACTCCGCTGGATAAAACATCACAAGAGACTGATCAGAATAATGAAGTGTCTGTTCTGGAAGAATCAAGTAGATCCAGCAAAACCAAGGAAGATACACCCGTGGATACAGAAAAAACTGAGGAATGCCAACATATAAAGACCTCTGATCAGGAAATTGACGATGAAGTGATTCAGTTGGATGCCTCGAGCATAGAAAATACACTAGATGAAAGTTCCACCACCGATCATCACAAAGAGGATTCAATTTTGGACAAAACAAAGGAAGGTACGACCGTTGATGAAAAGGAAACCTCGCATTGTCGAGATGAGAGTTCATTTATTGAAGATGGCGAAACCAATAAGCCCAAAGAATCATCTGTTTTCGAAGAAACCAAGGAAGATAAGGAGTTAGACAAAGAGGAAACTGAGAAATATAATCATAACGAACCTGACGATGAAGTAATTCAGTTGGATGCCTCAAGCATTGTTGAGGAAACTCCACTGAATGAAAGTTCATCGATTGAAGACTCCATTGGTGATTCTATTCAGGAGGACAGCGCTAAACAAGTTAAGGATATACTTGAAGAGAAAGAGTCATTTAATCAAAACGGCGTTGAAGATGAGGTGATTCATGAAAATTCCCTTATCGAAGATTTCATCACTGATCACCCAAGCAATGTTCCTCTTTCGCCGGAATCATCGTGTCTCGACCAAACTAAGAAAACATTATCAACGGATAAAAATCAAATGGATGGAGAAAAAGTAGAAAATGATCAGGCTGCAGAAGCGACATTAGATAAATCTTCGGACAATCAAGAAGTCAAGGCTCTGGATCAAAATATTTCTCCACAAACCGAAGAGTTACCCGACCAGCAAAAGTCCTTGGATAATAACATCCTGCAAGAGTCCTCCGAGAAAGATATGTCTCCCAATACTTCATCTGTAATCACGGAATTCTCTGGACCCCACAAACTGGAAGCAGAAAAATATAAACAGTCGAAAGAAATTTCAATAGACATCACATCTGCACCACCAGTAATACTAAATGCATCAAGCTCCAATGGCTCAGAAACTACAGCTGAATTTGAGGCTTCATCATCACTCGCTGACAAACTTCCTATCCATGAATCTGCGAACAAACCTGAAGTTCATCTTCAAGACGTATCTAGTGCAATATGTGAAGAGCAGGAAGCTCCAACTAAAGTACAGGATGTTGTAAAGGAAGACATTTCGAAAACATCTTCAGGTGCAAACGAATCAGATTTGCATGACGATCCGAAATCCATCTCTAAAAGCATTAATTCATCGCGCGATGAGGCTCAAATAGCTGTCCAAAATGAGTCAATAATTGACTTGGATGCCTCAAATGATGGAAAAGATGATGAAGAAGATGTTGAATTCATATCAGAACAAGAAAAGATGATTGTCCCCAGTACGGAGGAAGTAACAAAGCAAGGCGAGCAACCGGCTAAAGTTGAAGTTTCCGAACAGATTGATATTATTGACTTAGATGATTCCAGTTCTAGCGCCCAGGGAACTGAAACAACAGACGTCGAAGCTCCTTCAGTTACACCTCAAGAAGAAAAAGAACCGGTTGTATCTAATATTTCTGATTCAAAGGAACCTCGGACATCAGTTGAGCCGGTTAAAGTGGACGCCGTTCAACCAGCGCCGGCTGAAGAATCTCTTAACGCCCCTAAAAATAGTTATATTCAGGAAATTCTTGTCGGTCCAGCCCCTACCGAAGAAAAACCAGAAGTTTTACAGGATCTTTCTGCGTCCACGGATGATGTCAAACCAAGTCAAACCAATTCAGAGGAAAAACCAATTGAGGAGTCTGCTCAAAATACGACAAAAGAAGAAATTGACTTACAAAATAAAAACGAGGAGCAGCCAATTTCCGAAACAGACTCACCACTTCAGTCAACGAAGATGCCTTGCGAGCCATTAATTCATGAAAAGAAGTCACCGGTTGAAGGAGTATCTACGCCACTAAAGCGAGTGACTAGGAAGGGATCGGCTTCCTCTGATAGACCTGCAGAAGCTGGCGTGTCTGAACGGCCAAAGAGGCTGGCAAGGAAGCCATCTGCTGAAGTTTCGGAAATCGAAGACCGTGCTGTGGATAACAAGCAAGCGGATGATGCCCACGTTAAGCCCAAGAGCCGAGCCAGAAAACCATCAGCAGATGTAGATGACGACAAACAAGAAGCCATTACTGAGAGAAGAAGAGGACGAAAACGTACTCCATCAGTAGAAGTTCCTGAAACTACGGCACAGACCCAATTGAAAGCCAATGAAGAAGACCCGAAACCCGAAGAAGCTTTGCAACCCATCCTAGAAGAAGAGCCGGAGCCAACAGTTGAGGAGAAGGACTCAAAGGCGGAGCAGGAAACCAATCAGAGGGAAATCACCGTAGAAAAACCCAAGAGACGTGGAAGGAAGGCCTCTGCCAAAGAAACGGAAGCCACATTGAACACTGAAGAAAGGACGAAACATGTTTTCGAGGCCCTCAACGAAGATAAAAGTGAGGAGCCTGAAGAGCCGACTGTATCAAAGGAGGAAACCAAGTCAGGAGTTGAGGAAAAACAGGATGAGTCAAACCAGAAGGAGCTCACCTTAGACAAGCCTAAAAGACGTGGACGAAAGGCTTCTGCAAAAGAAACCGACACCGAGTTGGAGAAGAAAGAAAAGGTCGAAGATCTCTTGGAGGCTGTCAACGAAGATGGAACTCAAGAACAGAAGCCTGTTGAGGAATCGCATACTTCTAATAAGGCGAATGAGAAGGTTGAATCAGAGGAAACCATCATTGAAAAACCAAAAAGACGAGGACGCAAGGCATCTGCAAAAGAAACAGAAACTTCTTCAGACCAGAAAGAAAAGCCTGAAGAAGACGAAGCGCCGCACTCCAATCAAGATAATGCGGATCATTCTGAGGAAAAGGCGCCTCAAGATGCATTACTCGAATCCAAGGAAGAGCAAGAAATAACGGCAGAGACTGAAACTAGTGCCCACCCAGCCAAGTCAAGTCGGAGAGCACGAAAAGCATCTCCAGAAGACTTAAGTAACGTACCAGACAAGAAGCACAAACATGAGGACCAGCAACCTATTGAAAAACCAGATGATGAGTCAAAGGACGCAGGTAAAGCGCGCGATGAGCGGCCGAAGCGAAGGGGTCGTAAGCCATCAGCAGAGGTGGTAGAAACTGAAGCTACCGTTCAAGAAGGTCAGTTAGATGACCAAAATATGCCCCAACCGAGAGCGCGCAGATCAGCGGAAAATATTCCTGCCATTGTCCAGGAACCAGCTAAGGATGAACACATTGAAAAACCCAAGCGTCGGGGACGCAAGCCTTCCGTGGACGTTGATCATGTAGCCCAAGAAGTTGCAGGGAAGCCCAGGCGAAGGGGCAGAACACCAGCCGGAGAAGAGAAGCAGGAGCCACCATTGCAGGCTGCGGAGCCTGAGAAAAAGACCAGGCGCAATGCTCGCAAAGCTTCGGCTGAAACTGTAGAGACGGTAGTGGCAAGCGAGGATGCGCATCTTCAGCAAATCGAAGAGGCAGCCGAACCGGTTTCGGAATCTGAAGCCTCGCCAGCTAAGCCTCCGCCAAAGGAAGAGGAGCAAGAGGAGCACAAAACGCGGCGACGCGGTCGCAAGCCCACGGCGGAGACGATTGAGGTGCCGCTGATGAAAACGAGCTCGCCAGAGAAATCCGACGAGATTCCCTCCCACTCACGCAGGCGTGGGCGCAAGGCCACCGAGGATGAAGCGGCCGCAACCGTGGAGATAGCGGAAATCCCTTCGGAGTCTCAAACCGAGGCAAAGCCAACGCGACGCGGCAGGAAGCCAAGTGCTGATGTGGAAGCACCGGAGAAGAAGCCACCAGCACGACGCGTTCGCAAAGCCTCAGCGAATGTGGATGAGGGAACGCCGGTGGCAAAGAAAGCGGCAACTCGACGCGGTCGCAAGGAGGAGACTCCTGCGGACGAGGATAAGAAGCACATCGATTTACAGGAACTGCCAGCGGCCAGTGTTTCGGCCACCGTAATCACCTCGGCCTCGCCGACAAAAACAGGCGACGCAGAAGAACTTACACCAAGGCGCCGAGAGGGACGCAACCTGCCGCGTAAAAACTACGAGGAGGCGCCAGACGATGACAAGCCGCAGTCTGCCCAGCGACGGGCTCGCAAGCCGGCGGCCAGCAAGGCGGTGGCCAGTAAGGCGCCGGAGCCAGAGGCACTTATAGCCACGCCCGTAGCCAAACCACCGCCAGTTGAAATAGAAGCCACGCCCGAGAACACGGTGGTCATGCCGGAGCCCACCACCTCGCAGCGACGCGAGGGACGGAATCTGCCGCGCAAGAACTACACGGAGGCGCCGGACGACGACAAACCCACATCGTCTCGCGGTCGTCGGGTGCGCAATCTGACTGCCAAGGCCCTGGAATTGATTGTGGACTCCTCGCCGCGTCCAGCGACTCCAAAGAGGCCGAAGGCGAAGGCGGTGGAGGATGAGGAGCCAGCGGCAAAGAAGGCGACCCCGGAGATACCACCACCCGAAGATGAGCTGGCGCCCGCGGCCAAGGGGCGCGGCACTCGCCGAAAGGTCGAGCACAGCGAATCGGAGGAGTTGCCGGTTAAGAAGAACGTTCGCGCGGCGGCACGCAAAGGGAAAGTCGAGGCTGAACTGGAGGAACATCATCCGCCCGTCAAGAAGGCGCGGGGCGGAGCACGGGCCAAAACACCTGTGGAGGAGTCTGCGGAGGAGGAGCCGCTCAAGAAGCCCGCCGCTCGCAGTCGAGCACGCGGCGCCAAGGCAGCAGAGCCGGAACAGCCCGCCGAGGATGTCCAGGACCAAGATGCCACCACATCCACATCCGCGGCGACAGGGCGAGGTGGACGAGGCAGGAAAGTGCACTTCGAGGCGGCGCCCGAGGTCGCCACCACTAGTGAGGATGCGCCAAAGCGGGCGACTCGATCGCGCCGGAAGTAAAGTCTATCAATTTCATTCAAAAGCTTGAATTACTTTGTATAATTTTTTTGGTTATTCTATAATTTTGCATATTTTCTTTTTTACGTTACTGACTTCTGTATAAAAAGTTTGCATTTATCCATTAATCAAGGCACGATAATATTTAAGTTCTCTTGTTAATCCCCCATTTCGGTGGGTTTTATTTTTTGGGATGGCTCCCCTTGCTCAGTAAAAATCTAACCTTAATAGGCTTAAGGCATTAAACATTATTAAGATATATAAATACCTTTTAAGACACTATCAAACATCCAAACAACAAATAATAAAGATTCGTAAACCTATAACCTGAAAACTTGTTATTGAAGAGACAGAAATGTGAATTTAAATCAATCGTTGCAATCATCTTTATTTCGTTTTATCATCATAATTAAATGTAGTTTTTATTAATTCTGGTTTTTGGTATAGACGTATATCTAATGCTGGGTTTTTGATTGATTACTTTTGGTATTTGGGTAACAGGGGGGAATCATAGAAAAGCTGGGTGTTTGTATACATTTATAGCACATCCAAAAAACATACACCATATAAGGCGTACATTAGTAGACAAATATTGTACATCGAGTCTATGCAAACTTTGAGAACATTTTCGTATAAAATAAAGCAGTAATTGGTAAACACAATAAATTCATAAATAACAAAATAAATAAATCAGGACGTCAAAAAGCTTCAGCTAATAAAAAGTAAAGCACGTATCTTATCTAAATTATATCGTCAATCTCACTGGTACTGGTAAACTGGGGATAATACTTTCTAAAGCTTCTACAAAAACACATGCGTACATAAGTTCTTCTTAAAGGCTAAGCTCTGCCAGCTAAATGCAAACAGTTTGTGTAAGTGTGTGCGTCGATCGAAATCGTTTTGTTCGTTCAGATCCTCGAGATCTTTTTAGGCCTTCATAAGGAGGTGCGGTTCGGAACGCAGCGAATCTGTTAGATACTGGATCTTCATGGTCTTTTGAAAGTATCGCTTCTCGTTGGGTGAGTTCACCATATAGACTATTGGACGGACGCCCACGTTGCGCCACAGATCGGCAATGTGGCTACAAAGTAAAATATATAATATTTAAAATATCATCGTTAAGTGCAAAACACTTACAAGTTAATCTCATCTTTGCTGAGAAAGACCACGCTTATTCCGATCACGGGAGCAATGATGTTGCGAAAGATAGCGCCATAGATTGAGGTAATAAGTGTAGAGGACTTAAGGATGGCCAGCGACAAGTAGGTTTCGTGCCATAGACCGCAAATGATTTCTGGCTTCAGCTTACGGAGCTGTAAAACGTACACAATTAGTTCTGGGAAAAGGATAATTAAAGAATTCTCGTTCCACCTGATAAATGGCCAGTGGCGAACGACTAATGACAATTGTGCGCTGAGTGAATGTCTCGTCGGTGGTCATAAACTTCTGCAACTGGTCTATCATCCTGGCGCTGGTGTCGTGCAGTCGCAGAAAGACCGTGGTCTCGGCAGCCTCCGCTTCCAGGAAGTCCGACAATTGCCTCAGGGAGACCACCGATTCCGCCTCGTACTGCGACCTGTGTGCAATGACATGATATAGATGATTTATTTCCAGTTGATTGATTGGCTTACCCCATTGGATGCTGCTCCACGATGTTTAGCTTTTGCAACTCCGCCAGCGGCTGGGCCACGTTGATTTTTTTGGGGTTGGCCACGACTATTTCGCCGCAGGACGTGAGGCCGGCATCGAGAAGCACGTTTCGATATCCACGTGCGAGGCACTGTTTTTGGTTAGGGGGGTGGCAAGGGTGGAAAAGGGGATGTTATTGATTTTTGTGCTTGCTGCTGCCAACCACCGGCTAGTGACGTCACCCACCTTCTTAATGGCTGCCTTGGAGTTTTCGGGTGCATCGAAGCCGGCCGCCCGATTGGCGATGGGCCAGTAACTGGGCCATTCCTCCGGAGTGCTCAAAAGGCTAAGGAGTCGCTTCTCGTTGGGACTTCGCTGCAACTTCACGAACTTGGAGGCTATGCAGACGACAATGAGGGTCAGTGTGCACCAGGGGATGGCCAGGTTGCAGAAGAGCCAGAAGACATTGAAGCAGAAGAGGATCAGGCTCACCGAGGCGCACAGCAGCTGGTATATCATCTTTAAAGCCAGCCACAACCAACGCCAGCAGGACATTCAGCACAAAACTAAAGGTGGGATATATATGGATAAATGTATCTCATGTCTGCGCCTAGATCCACTTACCCTAAATAGAATGCGTGCCGCCACCCGCTAGTGGTCCACTTGCCACTCCCTCGTCGGTTCTTTGGGATTCTGTACTGCTCCTTAGGGGCTGCTGCAATTTCTGTCTTTCTCAGGCGGCTTAGACTTTACTTTAGTCAGGGCGATCGCTAATTTAATGGCTACTACTAATAATAACCGAGAAAACAATTGAAATTTGCAGAAGGAGCGTACCTACTAACAGCTGATAAGAGATAAAATCCTCTCTTCTTCTTCTCTCCCAGCTATTCCGATTTAAATATCGAAAATACTAAGTTCTATCGATAAAAACCCGGTAAAACAACGAAAGTTCAAACAAATAGAAAGCAAAACAAGCGTATACTGATAGAATAAAAATTAGATTAATATAATGAGTTATTATATGTGAAGGCGCGCCTTTTTGAAACTGTATTTATGTAGCCATGAATACTTCTAATAAAAAATTGTACTTTCCCAATATTTACACAATAATTAGTGAATTTTGAAATAAATAGTTCAACTAATTTATGCAGTAGAATTTTCATGTATTGTTTCCATATAATTAGCTACAAATCTACAACTTTGTGAGCAGGCGTATCCAGCGGCGAATAGTCGGGTGGGCCAGGCGTGTATAGACTCCCGGATAGTAGGGATCCGCGCAGCCAACTCCCCAGGATACTATTCCAATGAGGGTTCCTTGGGCGCTAATCGGACCTCCGCTATCACCTGCAAGAACGAACAGCTTTGGTGTTTTATTATCAACCAGGAGATTAATCATTTATCTCACTCACCTTGACATGCGTCTGTGTTTCTGGCAGCCGCACAGAACATTCTGGAAGATTGGTGTTTGATTTGAGAATTAAATTCTTAATTTTCTAAAAAATTGTAAGATGCATAAATGGATCTGCAGCTGTATCAAAAGCAAGCCAAGTTAAATTGCTGATATTATTTTAATCTGAACCAATATTGATAGGTTCACCCAAAACGGAAATCAATTAAGTTAGAAACTTTTGGGATAACTAAGATCTATTAAACGTAAAAATGGCAATAAAGGCACAATAGGTAAATACACTTTTTAAAGCAGCATATATTTTTTATAGACAAATTCTTATTTTGTTCTTGTAAGAAACAATTTTCTGTCCCGAAATAATATGGATTTGTAGCTGTATGAAAAGCAAGTAAAGCTGCTATAAAAATTATATTATTCTGAAAAAATTGTGATACGTTCACACAAGAAAAGAAATATCAATTAACACAACTATTTTTTAGTTCAACAATAAAAAACAAGATTAACTCTACATGGATCTCTCAAACGTAAAAATTTCAATAAAGGAACAACAGGCAATTCGCATTTTAAAGCGGCCTACATTTGTCTAGACAAATTTGTTCAGGTAAAAAAGCATTTTGTGGTCGAAAATAATATCATTAAAATTCGTCTTTAATTCGTCTTTATACTGATGAGTGATAATGATGACTGGAAATGATGGTTCTTACGCTTCGGTGACTCCTCCGTGACGTCGCAGATCGTTGTGGCACCTCTCCTGGTTGACCGTCATCACCGTGGTGCTCTTGAGAACCGGCGAAAGGACGGGATTGGTGGTGCTCATGTGTCCCCAGCCGGATACGATGGCAGGCACGCTATCCGAGATGGCCTCCCCCACGGCGGGCAGTCGAATGGGCGCCACTTTGCCCAGCGGCGAGCTGAGTGCCTTGTCCGCCGTTCGCAAAAGGGCCACGTCGAAGTTCATGTCCGCCCGATCGTAGGCCGGATGCTTGTGGATGGCCTTCACCGGCTGGACGCTTCCGCCCGTGGACCGCATGATGCTGCCCTGTCGCAGGGTGAACTCCCGCGGCTGCTGCTCATGGCCGTCGACGCAGTGGGCGGCGGTGATGGCCCAGTTGCTGGCCAGGATTGAGGCGCCGCAGATGTGAACTGTTTGGCGGCGCAGCGACAATTGGTATGGGAACTCGCCCTCCCGCGCTTCGCGTCCGTTGACAATCCGACTGACCGGCTGCCTTTTGGTGGCCGCTTCTACGCGGGATGCTTCCAGGATCAGATGGATCCCAGCCAGCAGGAGGAGCACGATCAGAACTCGAGGCTTTTGCATTTCGCTGCGAGTGCGGACGAGTGGAAACTAACCAGCCTTCGGAATCCGTAAGTCGATATATTCGCTGGCGTTTTATCAATCATTGCCGTTATCTAGCGGGGTACACGATTTCTGTTGAAGCTGCGCCGTTGCCCGTAATTAACCATTGTCGGTTGGGTTTTTTCTCTGCCTATCTTCCAGATTCTGTGATTTTATTACTGTTTACAGCGCTGACGACGGCAATGAACTTCCGGCAAGACCATGGGGGATATGTGGGAGAAGGTTAACAAAAACTGATGGGGCTAACCCATTTTGGTCCTTCTAGAGGATTTCTTAAATCCGATTTCCTTTTCAATTCGCAAGTATGTAAATAATTCACAAACCATTTTGATTGAACCTTGAACAACAGAACACAAAGGAAGATCCCTAATCTTAACCATAGAATAAATTAAAAAAAAAAATATTTCGTTTTCAATTTTTTTTTTAATTGCTGAAATAACGGTTTGAAAAATTAAAAAATATACTGAAACTAACGTTAAATATCGATAGTTCCAGGATTCAATCGATACTTAAATAAATGGTCCCTCTGGCTGGTATATCTGAACGATTGGGCTGCGGTCATACTGAGTCTGCAATTTTCAAGAATTACACACGCGCGCTTGTTTTTCGGCTCGTGTTAAAAAACATAAAATTGTTAAGCAAAAAAGCAGCTGGAGTCCGCGAGCAAAAACCATTTTACGCTGTGTTAACTAGTAGAAAATATATTTACATCGTATACGTAACTCATTTGTCGGCGCTACTCTGGTGCGAGGGCGACAGCAATAGCAGGCCGAGTGCAGCAGTGCGATTGCAGCGAATCGAAGGGGAAAATCCAAAAGAAGTTATTGGTTGCAGCTCTCGAGTTAAAGCGGCCGAAAAACCAAAATAAACGATTAACTGCCGTATAGTCATGGCACCCTGGAAGGGCTAATGAAAACGGGAAGGGAGTTTTCGACCCGCAACAAGAACAACAACAACAACAGACAGTGGAAGAAGAAGACTGCGACGGCCACTCCTTTTGTGTCCGACTTCGAGATGTGTGCGTGTTCGTGTCCGCGTCCGCCTTTGTGTGTCGAGCAAAGCAATTGAAAACTGGTGATTTGCTGAATAAATTAAGGTAGCTAAATTAATAATTAGCGAAGCGAGTGGGGCCAATAAAAAGTGAAAATCTTCTGCGTTTTCGTAGAGCGAAAGAAACTACAGCTACAGTTAGAAGAGAGATAAGAAGAGCTCTCGCACACACCCGCACACACCGACACAAAAGCGCAGGCCGAACGAACGAGTGTGCGTGCGTGTGAATGTGTTTATGACTCACGGGCTGGTTCAGTGAGAGCGAGAAGGAGATAGAGATAAAGAGAGCGTGAGCGAGAGCGAGAGTGGTGGCTTGAGTAACAGTAACAATACTAAATTCAAACAACAACAAAACCGCTGAACGTTTAGAATTTTCCAAGTCGAGCGTAACTAAACGCATTAAAAAGAAAATCCCCACGAACAACAAAGGGAACGAGAGAGAGCAAGATGAGCTTCACCAAGTGGTTCAAGAAGAAGGGCGGCGACGGGGGATCGATCTCCGAGATCGGTGCACCCACCAACTTCCAGCGGCACTTCCATGTCTCGCACAACCAGCAGACGGGCGACCTGGAAGGCCTTCCAGCGCCCTGGGTCCGCCTGATGAACCAGCAGATCACCCGCGACGAGCAGGACAAGAATCCCGATGCCGCCTACCATGCCGTCAAGTACTACAACTACTCGATCAAGAAGAAGGAGAACGAGGTCTTCAAGCCCTTCATCACCGAGGACGTCATCCACGAGGAGTCCAAGGAGATCGACAACTATGTCAACTACAAGAACAAGCACAAGTCGCAGGATCCCGAGAAGTCCGATGACGATGGCAACTCGACGGCCACGGAAACGGAGAGCAGCAGCGGCTGCGGCTCCTCGGCGGGCAACAGCAACAGCAGCAGCATCAACGACAGCAGCCAGCAGTCGGCGGTTCGGCTGGACGCTTTGGAGGAGGTGTTCAAGGAGCTCAAGTCCAATCTGGAGCATCGGGAGACGCTGAAGGCGGCACCACAGGAGCCACCACCGGTGCCGCCCAAGAAATCACCACACACCATGCCGCCCAAGCCGCAAATCAAGCCGAAGCCTCGCGTAACCCAGAAGTTCTCACGCACCTCGGACCTTCGCACGGAGGAGGACTCCGAGAATCAGCACAAGATCAACACGGACACTATTATTATAAAGCCAGCCGGTGGTGGAGCCCAGGAGGCCGATGACAACCCAGACGAGACCATACTGCGTCGCTCCAAGGAGAAGCGGGCCCAGAAGACCGATGCCGAGATCTACGACGAGCTGCGGGCCATTTGCAATCCCGAGGATCCGAGGGAGCGCTACAAGACCACCCAAGAGGTGGGCAAGGGAGCCTCCGGCATTGTCTTCATCGCCGGCGATTTGCAGAACGAATCGCAGGTGGCCGTCAAGACGATCGACATGAAGAACCAGTCCTCCAAGGATCTCATACTCACCGAAATCCGGGTGCTCAAAGACTTCAACCACAAGAACCTGGTCAACTTTCTGGATGCCTACCTGCTGGAGCCCGAGGACCAGCTGTGGGTGGTCATGGAGTACATGGACGGCGGCCCGCTGACCGATGTCGTTACCGAGACTGTGATGAAGGAGCGCCAGATTGCCTGCGTTTGCCGCGAGACGCTCTATGCCATCAGTTTCCTGCACGCCAAGGGCATCATTCATCGGGACATCAAGTCGGACAATGTGCTGCTGGGCATGGATGGCTGTGTCAAGGTGACGGACTTTGGCTTCTGCGCCAACATTGAGGGCGATGAGAAGCGCCAGACAATGGTGGGCACCCCGTACTGGATGGCGCCCGAGGTCGTTACGCGCAAGAAGTACGGCAAGAAGGTGGACATCTGGTCCATCGGCATCATGGCCATCGAAATGATCGAGGGCCAACCGCCCTATCTGTACGAGACTCCGCTCCGCGCCCTCTACCTGATCGCCGCCAATGGGCGGCCGGATATCAAGAGCTGGGACAAGCTCAGTCCCAATCTGCAGGACTTCCTCGACCGCTGCCTCCAGGTGGAGGTCGACCGGAGGGCCACCGCCGACGAGCTACTTAGCCATCCGTTCCTCAACGACTGCAGCGAGGTCAAGGCCCTGGTGCCCAACATCAAGGCCGCCAAGAAGGTGCTCCGACGCAACGTATAGTTGATGTGCAATCACCGGACGGCCAGGCTGCTCTACGCGTGATCGGGATCGGAATCGGGTTCGGGATCTGCCCCGTGTGTATAATGAGTTTTCAATGTAAATTTGTTTTGTGTGAACGTGGTCGTGGACGAAACCGGAACTGGAAATGGAACTGGAACAGAATGCTGATCGTAGTCTTTGTAGTGTGTACAACCGTAGAAATAGCAAGAGCGCAGGACTAGGACCCGGCCACTCCCCTTCGACAAACAGGTAAGTCCCGCTTTTGAATACCCGATCCGATCCCAGGTAGCTCAGCCGAGCTCATTATTCAAGCGAAGCGATATATCCATTTCAACGGAAACCTTTTCGCAATCGCACATGTGGAAACAGAGGCTGTCGGTCGGTTTATTGGCCGATGGGTTAGTTTCACCGGCGTTGTCTGAATTTTGTCAAAGACCTAGACCCAAAACGGCGATAGTTCACTATCTTGACTCTCTTAATCAGTAACTGGCTTCGGTTCGAACAACAGATTAAATTCGATCAAGGTTACGAAGTGCACGAGGTTTTTGTCTCTTGATTGGTTTCTTTGCTTTTATGCCTAGGAAAGGGAATATTTAACTCGGCCAATTGAAACGCCCCAGTGATCAGATATGCTAGCGAGATGATGAAAACATAATGAAATTAGTGTCAAACTACTCAAAACAGAGTTAGAAAGTCATTTGGCAAAACATTCTTTTTTCTCTTTTTGTATTTTTTATGACTCAACATTTAAATCAAGTTTTAAATAGCATTTGATCTTTAAAAACATCATTTTTTATAATGATTCAAATGTTATTATGATGATAAATTTGTTTATTTACGCGATGTTATTCATTTAAATTTTAAAAAATACATATAATATGCACTTAAACTTTATTTTAATATACATATTCCGTTTTAAAATTTTCCGAAATCAGGAAATCATCCCAGCTCAATGTTCTGTTGAATGTCATATCCAAAGTATTTTTCTAAGGGATATTCCCAAAAATAAATTAGGGTTTCTCCTATTTGAAATTACTCTTCCCCAGAGCATATGCCGTTATTCAGTTGCACTCGTTTTTTCTCTCTTTCGGTTGGCACACCTATTACGTATATTACGTGCAGAGTTTTTGCACAAGACATCCCCATTGAAAACTGACAATGGACGAAAAAAGAAAGAAGCCGCTACGGCAGCAACAGCAAACAACAACTAAGTACGCAATTTAACACGCTTGTTCGCATTTCCTGTTTGGAATATCGCTTTGTCTGGCCAAAATATATTCATACATCATAATAAAGAAACTTTAATTCATACAAACACACAGACAGCGAAGCACCTACGCTAGGCGGAGTGCATTTGTATTGGCCTTATCAGTCGAGTACAACACAGTGTATAAGTGCTATTGTAATTCCCCCAGGCAGTCCATAAATCGGAGCGGAATTTATCAAATTCTTAGAACAATTTTCGTCCATTTTCGATGTGATAAGCAAAGCTAAAAAAAAAATATAAACTTGGATCGTGAAAGTTCTGTGGAGGAGGGAGAGAGTGAGAGAGCGAAAGTGGAGTCAACTCAAAGTGTGTGTAGCACAAAGAATGAGAGTGTGTATAATTGATTCTGATGGCGGTTCTCCTGCTCCCGCTCACCCCCTATCTCATTCGCTCTCTTGAGGTTCTTCTTCTGCATCTTCGGTCGCCCTCCCACTTACTCAACTTAATTGCTTCTGCTGCTGGAGCAAGCGAGAGGGGGGATGGCGACGTCGCGACTTGGCTGCGCTATTTTTACTCTCTCCCACTCCCACTTTTGCCTGGTCTCTTCCCCTCCATTGTGATGCACTGTCTCTGCATTTTCCAGTGGCGGATCAAGCACGGAATTTCAAGGGGTAGGTTCTGTAGGGAAGCAGTTGGCATAATTTAAAGATTTGGTCGTACAATTATTTTTATTAGGAAAACTTAAGGAGGATATCCTCTGTTAACCCCTCCTGTGGCCGCCCCTGACTTCTTCCCCAACTTCTACCGGATCTCTAGGCTCTTTATTTGTTTATATTACTGGCGCATACTTTTGCTTTCCGTTTTGCGGGAGAGGGAGTGAGAGAGTGCGATGGATTTGCTTACTTGCGGATATTGAAATCTTGAATGCTGGAAATACTGGAAAGAGGGGGAAAGAGCTGTGCACAGGAATTTCGCAAAAACTGAAACATTTTCTTCGTTTTCCATTCTGGCTTCTGGGCGTGGAACCTCGATGCTGGGGCCAAAGTACAACTCGATACACAGAAGAAAACGTATTAAATTTTGTTTTAATAGTGCTAAATTAACATGAATTCCATATTTTGTTGCGTGAGATAACACACAAATTCAAATGATAGAGTATTCAAAAATCATCTTACATGATATTTTATAATTTACCAGCTTAACAAGTAACAAATCCGATATCTACTTCAAATTGATGTTCATAAACTCTAACTATATCATCAAGATTTCTGTCTGTGTAGCCATGTGTGCGTTAGTGAGTGAAAGGGCCTCGTGAATCCCCAGAGTCATTTGAAAATGGTCTAGCGAGCGACGCCCCAAGACCCAGAAATAATGACTAAACCACTCACATATAGTTCGATTTGGAATGGCGCCGCCGAATGATAATTTCACCTTGCTCGAAAGGTTTTTCGGCCGAATGTCTGCGTGTGTGAGTGTTTCGTTTATTGAACCACACAAGTTGTTGTTTGGTAGCTATGCGGAATTTTAGATGATTCATTCATTACTTTGCGCCAGCGACTTATTTTTCCCATCCAGCGTTGAGGGGGGTGTTTGTAAACGACCTCCCCTCACCCCACTTCTCACCCCGGTCGGATCACGCCGACCAACAATGCACGGTTGTGTATTAAACTTGTATCTGAATCCACTGGCTTTAGTAACATTTGCGAACGAATGTTTTGTCAGTCAGAGTTTCCAATGCCTGCGACATACTCATCCACTCACACACACTCACACTCACGTACTCGCTGCAAGTACACTCGCAATAAAAATATATATTTTTGCGGTGAGACTCAGTGGATTGTAATGTAATGTGTACATGCATTGGTACACGATCCACGAGTGAACTTCTTTGCATCTGGAACGCGCTCTCATTTGCCTGCCAGCCAACTATCAGCTACACAGAGAGAAAACTTGTAATTTTTGATGACTCATTTGATGATTTTACATGTTCACTTGGTTGAGATACAAGCATTTCATTTAATTATTATTATTAGCATAAAAATTAATTGGGCAAAATGATATAACATTATTTAATTTTTATAAACCCCATATATTTTAATAGAACAAATCATATTCTTAAAATAATTTCTTTAAATAATAGAAATATATTTTTCTGAGTGACTGTTCTTCTCGTTTCTGATTTCGTCAAAGGAAAATTGTGGGGAAAACTGGAAGTGCTCGGCAGGCCGCATTTCATTGAAATCGAAGCGTGACTTTGCAACGGGTGCCGCTTCACATGCTGATAAATATAAACAATTATTGTGTTGATAATTGACGTGCTCCGCTCTCCCATGGCATAACAATAGTTCTTTTCAACAACAGAGAGATCATGTGCGGGGGAGGCGGACGAACAAAACGGGCGAACGACGCCAAAAGATTATGCAGATACCCCCTGAAATAACCCATCGAATGGGGCGCCATAAAAGTGGCACTGATAATGCATTAATAATAATAATATGCAGTCCACCTGACCTCCACCTCAACGCCCCCAGCACAAGGGCCTACCACCCACCACCTGTCGTGAGTGTAACGATCTATTTTTAACGACTTCTTTGGCCAGCTAATCAGCTGATTGTATCAAATGCGCTGATAAGGGGCCCGCCGATAACGGAACAGTTGTTTGATTAGTTCACTTTGCCTTGCTCTTTCCGAACAAATTGTGTTTTCGAACTAACACTCGACTTCAAGGTATTAGGACCAATTGACCAAAATTCCCCTTAAAGTTTTCTAGTAAATTGAGCTTCGCTATGCTGAATAATCTCTAAAGTTATGAATCAAACCAGCAAAAAAAAGTATTTTTAAAACAATAAAAAGTTGTATTCTTATGAAACATATATTTTTTTACATACGTCATTGGGTAATTATAGATAAATATATCTGAGGCTTTCGGCACTCATAATACATGGATGATTTAAGCTTTAATTTTTACCAAACATCAGTTTTGATTTAGGAATTTATTGTACTCTGTATTCATTGCATTTAACTATTTCCGTGCTCATTATAGTACATTCTTTTGCCCATAAACGTATTCCAGGGTGATGGCAATTATTAGAGGTCGATGTGTTAATTATTCGCTACGCTCTTCTCGTCTTGCCCCTTTTCTCGGCTGCAGTTCAGCAGTCCGACCTGGAAACTTACAAACAATAAATAACCATCGTTTTTTATCTATTTTTTGCAGCACGAGACAGCGAGGGCAGAGAGATGAGCAGACGCCGGAAAACTCGAAGGAAACCGTCGCAAAACCGTGGATCCATATCGCATCGCTCAGAGGCAGAGGGGCGGGGGTTATCGCTTAGATTAGATTGTCCTATGGCAAATTAGCTTACTTCGTACATGGCATATGTATATGTGAGGACGCACACAAACACGCACATATGATATAGATACTGTATTATTAACTGTAGTGACATAAGTTTGATTACTCTTTATATACCCGTATATATACATAATTGTGATTTAAGCGATTTTATCAAATCTGCATTATGCGATTCATTATAAAATTCGTCGTAGTCAGTAAGTGCAAACAAACCCTAAACAGAGAACATGCAATACTTGTTGTAAATTACCAAAAAACAAAAAAAAATCAAAACAAAAATGAGGGCGATAATTATAGCAAGTCGAAATGAGTGTAACAAGTGCCATTAGGACTAGAGAGCTAGCAGCAGCAAGCGACACACCAGCAACAGCAAAATTATCTCCACAATTTATGCATTTCCCATAGAATACAGATATCAATGCAACAGAAAACTAATTAGACAGCTAGCCGGACCTTGTATATTAGCTGATATTTGATAATCGCAGTGTTGACGGGATTGAGGGAAAAATGTTTGATATTCCATTTTAATTAGTACAAACTTAAGACTAACCAAAACGCCACAAAAGAACAGATTTAAATAGACATCCTTGTTCCTTCCCCGAGATATTTGCCATACGCACCAAGAAAATTGAACCCTATCAAAATAGAGATGTTATTTAACGCGGTAATGTGTGTGTCAAAGCTAAAGTGAGGTACTGAAACTAAGAAATATCCCTAAAGGGAGTATATGCATATAGAAGTGGTATTCGTACACTAAACCTAGTCCCAACGGGAATTAAAAGCAATGTCAATTGCTGAATAGTATATCTTGGAGAGAGAGTAATCAACACCCTATACAAAATAGGTTTTTCTTTTTCCCACTTCTTTTTTAGTTAAATATTCAATGCTATTTCCCACCACAAGATTTATTCAAAAAGTATAGGAAGTTACACACTACAGATATTTTACCGAAACACAACGAAGGCGGAACAAAAAGGGTACATTCGAGGTTCTTCTGCCAGCCGGTGTTAGCTTTCTTTAACTGTTAATATATACACATACCGATAGGGACTATCTTTTACTTGCAATTCTGATATTAGTAGGCAATGGATTGCTGCTGCTGCAGATCGGTTCATAGTTAAATTTTATATACGAAACGAAAACCCAATATTTGGCCTACAATTATGCATTCATAATTTTTAAAGAGCTTAACTATTAATCGAAAATTTACTTGATTTTCCTAGTTTAGCTTAAATGAGTATTAGGCAAGGCAACGAACGGAGAGTATTTAGGGGCAGTAGAAATGGGGCTTAGATGGCCTTTTTGGAATCCGAGACATACCCGACATTACATATTCGCAAACGCATTTAAGACGAACGCAAATATTGCAATTAATAACGTAAATGTAAATGAAACACAAGTCTTCAAACCAAACAAAGAACAACAAAAGGTAGCATAATTTTTTATACGCAACTTTTATTGCAATTGTAAAGTGACGAATAGGAGAAAGAAGAAGCTGACATCAATTTTGATCGATTCGTAATTATATTAATATACACTAAAAGAATTGGCTCTATTTCAATTAAACTTAAACGTAGTTAAAATACAAAATGCATATTAATGCGCAAGGTCAAGACCCGACTTGCCAAAATAAACGTAAACAGTATGATAAATAATGCGAGGATCTAGATATTTAAAGGAGCGGAGAAACAATAACGATACATTAGCGCTTTATCGATCGCTTAAATTCAAAGAGCAAATCCCACAATAAGTTTTATGTTTTATGTGCGCACATTTAGTTTGCTTGGAACCTAAGTCGTATTCGTATATTCTACCATTATTTAGATTTATTTTGCAATTTAGTCCCCATCCACTTCGATCATTGAAGTTGGCCCCTCACAATTGTATGTATTTAGTTTACCTTGCACTGTAATTTTTATTTTGTGTTGTTAAATATATCGTTATTTACTTATTCTACCAAAGCACTTTGTTTAATATATATATTTATCCTGGGGTTGCAGTCAAAATAATAGCCTGTGTGGTTTAAGAGTCAAAAATGAAAAAACATGTCTACATGAGTTCCAAAAAACTTTGATAAGAACTTCCTCTTTATTTACACAGTTTGCTTAAAAATACAAAATAGAAACCAAAGCACATTTAATATTCAAAAGACTAAAGTACAAGAAAATGAATTCCCGAAGATTAAACTATAAAATCATTTAGATAGGATACATTGGTCTATTATTTTGACTGCTCCCAAGTTTGATCCCCTACAGCCAAACATCTTCGCGATATTTTCCCTGCGTCTTTAGTTCCTTCAGCTGCCGGGAGGCCTCCTCCTCAGTAAGATGCAGAGCTTTCTGCAGGCACAGACTCAACGCATTGGCAATGGATTGGGAAATCTTGCCCCCATCGGCACAGAGGTATAGCACGGTCTCTGGCTTCAGCAGGAACTCGACCAGATCCTCGGCATCATCCGCCAGCACTTGTGGCAAATAGTTGGGAGGTTTTCCTCGCGACTTGCACATGCGTATACGCTCCAACACTGAACCCCCCCAGCACGTCAACTTGTGCCACTTGAGGATGGCTTCTGGTGTCTTGGCACCAATGTAGAGCCAGGAACGTCCCTTTTTCTGCTGCGGCTGCTGTTTGATGAGCCTTTCCTTGTGGGCGAAGAATCCAAGAAAGGGCGCCAGCCCAGTGCCCACTGCAATAAGTATTTGATTGCTGCCCAGATCTTGTTCTGTGTAGCGGAATGAAGTGCTTAGTCGTGGATAGATAACCACTTTAGTAGGCTTCTCCGCAGTTATTTCCTCTATTTTCTTCTCAAACATGCTGGTTGTGATTCCAGGCTTTTCGCTGAGCAGGGAGTATATAATGCGTAGCTCCTGGGGACCAGCTTCCAAAGGACTGTTGGAAATGGAATACGGTCGGGGAAGCAGACGCGGCAAGTGCTCCACCAAAAAGGCCAGTGGAGGCCTACAGTTACCGCACAGCTCAAGAATATCCATGAAGAGGAGACCCTGCTCCAGGATGAGGGATTGGTAGTGCTCGGCCGCCTGTTTGGAGGATAGGCAGGCCAGGAAGCTTCGCTCCTTGACGTCGCTTGTGAATCCGGCCAGAGCGCTGAGGAGTTGCTTCTGCGGAACGAAGTTCAGCGACAGGCAGTCGGTGAGGATTTCCCGGGGAGTCGTCGTTGCCGGAATGTGGGCGGGTAGCTTGGCGTTTTTCTTGGCGCAATTGAGCGCCAACTTTAGGTGACAAGTGGTGTCGGCCTGGTCAGTAAGTTCTAGCCGCTGGAGCAGCCGGTCCACTAGTTCGTCTCTATTGTTTGGCAAGACTCCTATGGTGTCCCCGGGCTCGTAGTCGAAAAAAGACTCTAGGGTCAGCTCAACTACGCGCTTTGTTTCCGTTGCCTTATCTGCAGCCACGAGCACCTGGCTCCTCCTTATCTCTACTGCCCTTGGCTGGGAATCCAGACGGGCAAATGGGAACTTTAAAGCCTCGCCGCATCTCAGTTGGGCACATGATTCAGTGGATGTCTACAAAAACAAGCTTTTAAATGGGTTTTCCACGAAGGTGCCGTACCCACCTGCTCTCCACCCGTGAAGGACACCTCCAGATTGCCGACCAGCGGCTTGGCGGGGATATATTCACTCAAAATATACCCTCCAATTTCCATTTTATCCGTGATTCACAGTGACTCAGAGCGCCAAAACAGCAGTGCTCTGTGTCATCGATAGTCGATAGCCGGGTTGTCATCGGTAGTCACGGTTATCGTCAGCATGAGGAGCAATATTTGTTGCTGCACAACAAACCGAAATCTCCAGTAAACCCATTAGGATTAAATTTCCCCCAAGATGGCAGGCAACGCCAACAGTGACGACGAGTTCCAGGACGCGATCGGCGAGGAGATCACCGAGAAGGAGGCCACCAGCACGCGGCTGAGCGAGAAAGATGTGGACGAGATCGTGGAGAAGCAGAGCCAGCTGGCTTTGGATGACGAAGCGGAGGAGGGTGCGGCTGGCGGGCATTCCATAGCGACGCCAGCGCCCGTGGACTCGGAGCTGACCATCGAGGAGCTGCGCGAACGGGAGAAGGATCTCAGCGCCGAGCAGCTGGCGGCGAACAAGGAGAAGGCCGACAAACTAAAGCTGGAGGGCAACGAGTTGTTCAAGAACGACGATGCTGAAGGCGCCGCCAAGACTTACACAGAGGCACTGGACATCTGCCCCTCGGACAGCTCTAAAGAGCGAGCGGTGCTCTACGGAAACAGGGCTGCGGCCAAGATAAAGCTGGATGCCAACAAGGCGGCCATCGACGACTGCACAAAGGCCATCGAACTGTGGCCAGAGTACGTGAGGGTGCTCCTAAGGTGGGTCTGAATCTGTAACAGAGGTAGCAATATCTAAATATGTCATATTTCAGACGCGCCAAGCTTTACGAGCAGGACGACAAACCCGACGAGGCTCTGGAGGATTACAAGAAGGTGGCTGAGATTGATCCGGGACAGCAGGAGGCTCGCGAGGCACAGATCCGCCTGCCGCCCATCATCAACGAGCGCAACGAGAAGCTCAAGACCGAGATGATGTCCAGCCTAAAGGATCTGGGCAACATGATACTCAAACCCTTCGGCCTGTCCACGCAGAATTTCCAAATGCAACAGGATCCCAACACGGGCTCGTATTCCATAAACTTTAACCAAAAACCAAGCTAGTTGAAAGATTTGCAGACGAAGAAATAAAGCTGTTTACGAGGATAATGTAAAAATAACAGTTTAGCCCTAGCAAGTCGTGACCAAGTCACTGTTTTCGTAAACTTTACACCACCATCAATAGAAAATATAAGCATTTTAATCACAATCAGGATACTAAAATGTTATAACAAAAGCTGCTTAAATGTTATTATGATACGCATGATGTGATATGCAAGTAATCTATTAGGTTCCTTCCGCATTTGACTGTATTATTTAATAAAAATGTTCTGGATAATTAAAACCCGTTTTTAAGTTGCAATTCAATAATAAGTCGTGATTGAGTCGCAGTTCCCATGCTGTCACAGCAATATCAACATTTCGCATCTCTGACATTCCGATAACGATAACCATTTACTTGGGCCGAAGCAACAGCTGACTGTGACACTTGTGTTCACCGTGAAGAAGAAGAGCAATTTGTTGGAAAAATCGCAATTCGCAAATTACAAAATTATATTCGTGCATCGCAGGCATTCTGGTTTACCCGATTTGTGGGCCAACCAATTGGCGTGACCGTGGGCAGTGGTGCATGCGAAGATCGGAGGGAGCAGCGCCCCCGCAACCCCTCTGCAGCCTGATATGAGAGCAGCCAGGCGGATCGTGGCCAGTTGATTCCAGCCCAGTAGCAGCCAGCATGTTCCGGAGTCGCAGCTGGTTCGGCGGACCCTGGGGCGGGCGGCCCAAGAACCGCCTGTCGCTGGAGCACCTCAAGTACCTGTACAGCATCCTGGAGAAAAACACCACGGTGTCGGAGAACAATAGAGGCCTTCTGGTGGAGTCTTTGCGCTGCATAGCCGAGATCCTAATTTGGGGCGACCAGCATGACTCCCTGGTGTTTGAGTGAGTTGTGGGATTACCAGTTTAGTGGCAAGCACATAACCCAAACCTTGTCTCTTTCAGCTTCTTTCTGGAGAAGAACATGCTTTCGTATTTCCTGCAAATTATGCGACAGAAGAGCGGAGGCTCCAGCTTCGTGTGCGTCCAGCTGCTGCAGACACTCAACATCCTCTTTGAGAACATACGCAACGAGACGTCCCTGTGTTAGTAGCTTTTCCATCACTATAATATATCCAATGTATATTAATACCCTTATACAGATTATCTGCTAAGCAATAACCATGTCAACTCCATCATGGTGCACAAGTTCGACTTCTCCGACGAGGATGTGATGGGCTACTACATCCTCTTCTTGAAGACGCTCAGTCTGAAGCTAAACACCCACACGATACACTTCTTTTACAACGAGGTATGCTTTATTCTAAATATCCAAGCATTTTAATTTAATGACAACTTTCCCTTGCAGCACACAAATGATTTTCCCTTGTACACGGAGGCTATTAAGTTCTTCAATCATCCCGAGTCCATGGTGCGGATTGCTGTGCGCACCATTTCCTTGAATGTCTACAAGGTCCAGAACTCTAGCATGCTGCGTTTTATTCGAGACAAGTATGGCAGCATCTTTACTCTTTTAGAAATAAATAATAACCATTTTTATCTCAGAACGGCTGCTCCGTACTTCAGTAACCTGGTCTGGTTCATTGGCAAGCATATTCTGGAATTGGATACCTGTGTGCGAACAGATATAGAGTAAGATAGTCTCCTGACATAATTTTTCCCTTTTAATTACTTACTCCCTTTTCTCCCCACAGCCACCAGTCAAATCAAAAGCTTTCCAATCTGGTGGCTGAGCACCTGGATCACTTGCACTATTTGAGCGACATTCTTCTGCTGGACATCAAGGATCTTAATGCGGTGCTCACTGAGCACTTGCTGCATAAGCTTTTTGTGCCCCTGTACATATTCTCACTGACACCAGCCCCGCCTCCGCCTTCTCTAGCGGTGGTTACCCAGAATCTAGCTGCCGTGCTGAACCGCAACGTGGACATCGACATTCAGGAGATGCACAATCCGCGCGTGAGCTCTATAGTGGCCCTTTTCCTGCTCTCATTGGTCTTCCTGGTGGTCTCGCATGCCCCGCTTGTGCACGCCTTGGCATGGGTTATCCTGAACGGCGACCACAGCGTCTTTAAAGAGGGCGCAGCGGAGATTCTTAACTCATACGTGGAGCACCGAGAAGTGGTGGTTCCTGGATTCGGAGAGCCCAACGAGAGCTTGGAACAAGCCCTAGATACCGTAACAGGCCAGTCCAGTGCATCCAGCTATGCGCTCAGCGAGGACAGCGGCGTGGAGTCATCCTCTCCAGCCGCCACGGAACTGGACTCGCAGGCCGATGCAGTGGAAGCGGAGCAACAAAAGCTGCGCAACATAACCGACGAGGAAAAGCAGTTGCTGCAAAAGTCCTCATCCTCAGCGAAGACCGACTTTACGGAAATGGCCAAGCCGTTTTTGGACACTGTCCTGCATGCGTTGGACTGCACCGAGAACGATTACTTGGCCCTGCTGTCCCTGTGCCTCATATACGCCATGTCGCACAATCGTGGTAAGTTTTCTCTTGATCGTCTTCTACTTTACCCCTGTCACTCTGTTTTTGGTCTAATGCTGTGTAACTTTCCATTGGTCTGATCACCCCATTTGTGCTTCATTCTAATCGCTTTCTATGTGTGTAATGACCATGTCACCATGACCCACTCCAGATGGTATGTAACTCGACCACTTCACGTACTAATCAATCATTAGCTGGTAATATTAATGAGTAACTAAATATCCCTACAATCCCTTTTATACAGGCATCAAGAACGAGTGGTTCGATCAGGTACTGGCCAAGTCAACGCGTGGAGCTTTCAGCTATAAGACAGCCCTGATTGAACATCTGCTGAGCATCATCACACAGTCCAGTCAGCCATGTATGTATTAAAGGAATGCAAACGTTTTAAACTTTCTATTAACATTAACTTCCTTATAGCATCCCGCATTCGCTTGATTACCGTTGAGATTGCCTTGGAGCTACTGGTTACCTTTACCCGTCCCAACTCAGATGAATCGCGCTGCATCACCGCCGCCCAGCAGGATCTCCTCTTCAGTGCCCGCAATCAGTCGATGGTGGTCCTTCGCAACTTTTACAAGTCCGAGGATATCTTTTTGGATCTCTTTGAAGACGAATACAATGAGATGCGAAAGGCGCAACTGAACGTGGAGTTTCTGTGCATGGACTCCACCATCCTACTGCCTCCCACGGGAACGCCCCTCACGGGAATTAACTTTACGCGACGCCTGCCCTGCGGGGAGGTGGAAAAGGCCCGCCGAGCCATTCGTGTGTACTTCCTGCTGCGACGCACGTGCCAAAAGTTTCTGAACGAGAAGGAGTCACTGCTGCCGCTGACAAATGTCGTCAATCTGGTGCAGGTGGAGAACGTTCTCGATCTGAGTATGTATTAGCATTAGATCTACTATCTACTGCGGTGCAATTAACCATTCTTTCCGCAGACAACAGTGACCTGATTGCCTGCACCGTGGTGGCCAAGGACAGCAGCAAGCAAAGACGCTTCCTGGTCATCGACGCCTTGCAGTTGATCCTCGTGGAGCCAGATGCCAAACTGCTCGGTTGGGGAGTGGCCAAGTTTGTGGGCTTTCTGCAGGACGTGGAGGTGCAGGGTGACAAGGACGACTCGCGCTGTCTGCACATCACCGTGCACCGCGGTGGTGTTACGCACAACCGCACGCCGCTGCTCTCGGCCAAGTTCCTGTTCGACGATCACATTCGCTGCATGGCGGCCAAACAGCGGCTGACCAAGGGACGCAGCAAGGCGCGTCAGAAGAAGATGTACCAGATTGCCCAGCTCATCGAGATACCGGGGCAGATGGACTCTCCCGTGTTCGCAGTGGGCGGCACCATGGCAGCATCGAGTGGCGGTGGCGGAGGCAGTGGCAATAGCAGTGGCAGCAGCTCGCGCAGCAGTCACCATCGTCCCATGTTCTCAACGGCCAATCGAGTGCCTGGATTTGCGGCCGTGCTGAGGGGAAGCAATAGCGCCGGGGTCAGTCGTACACAGATGGCCCCCAATCGCTCCATCGAGGGGTAAGTCCACGTAGATGTGCCTTCATTATCCTTCTCATTTCCATCCTCATTTGTGCGTCTTCCTGCAGAATTAGGAATGAAAGCGCTGGCCGCTCCCGACGCCGCAGTCCCAGCTCAACTTCGGGCTCGAATCTGAGGGCAGATCACTCGGATCGGGAGCGATCGCCCAGCGTTAGCATGGGCAGTCACAGCTCCTCGCAGTCGCGGGAGAACTCCCAGCCCAGAAGTACCGGCAACCGATCGCGGGAGAACAGTCCTCGGATGCCCAGGCCGCGGTAACCATAGTTAACCACTTTTTAGTTAGGTTTATGTTTCTGGAATGGTTCTTATAATTGAGATTTGGGCGGGGTTTAAAGTGGTGTTAATTAAATTTTATTTCTTTATCTAAATTCGATTCTTTATATTTAAAAACTGAATGGGACTTTATTCAGTTTTCTGTATATTAACATAATTCTCACAATTTTCAAAATTCGGTGATTTCCATTTCTTAAATTCCTTTATTATGTATTTAACAAGTATTGTAAAATTGACGTAGTTTAGTTTTAAATTCAATTTGTATACCTATGTATGAAGAATATCCCTTAAGGGGCTTAGCCCAATATATTTTCATTATAACTTTCGTATTATTTTGATCAAATAAACACCGAATGGCATGTGTTTCTTCTCTGGGAAGCAATAATTATCATATACTGGCACGTGTTAGATTATTTCTTGTTCTGATTTGTTATAAAAATAACTCATTTTCAAGAGCATGCAAAGGTTCCCTTTATTCGTGATAAAAATAAATTGGTTTTGTTCTTTTTTCATTCTAGTTCAGAGGAGATTCCCCTTGAGGATTTCCAGCACTCGCGCAACAACAGCCCGCACTCGCGGGGCAACCAATCGCCCGCCTCCCGCTCGCACACGCCCATCCGGGTGCTCCACTACGATCAGCTATCCGGGCACAGCGGCTCGCCTCGTGAAGCCTCCCTTGGGGGAACGGGCACTAATGCCCTTTTAAGCCAGCTGAACGGCCTGGCCCGCGAAGTGCTGCCAGTGCAAAGCTCCGAGGAGACGTCTTTTATCGGGAGCGACGGAAACGAGTCCACTGGCGGCTCGGAAAGCAGGCGACGGGGAGCCATCGAGACGGTCTAAATTAGATTAGAAGTTCTAGTATTACACTGAGAAAAGCCTTATGCTTAGATTGTTGCTAACATTTTGTTATTCCAATTGACTAATATGGGGGTACATACTCTAATTGCTTTTCATTTTAAATAAAAGTTAACGTGACGAATTGAAGTTAAATAATGTGAAGTTTCCAACTAGTTTTATTGAATAACATAACATAAAGAAATAAGGGCTGTATAGAGAATTTCGGCTAATGCCAATTTAAATCTAATAAATCGGTGATTCCTCATTACTTCTTTCTTTTTCCCATCTGTGTTTCAGAAGTATTGCTTCTGACACGTTTAATGTACTTATTTAGATCCAAGTTTATCCGGGAGAAAAGCATTATTCGATTCATAAACTGTCTCTCCTGCCACTCAGGATCTTCTTCTCCATACTTTTCATCATCAGGATACTTAATGAGCCTGTCAAAATCACGACCTCCTTCCCGCAGGCTATACAGGTAACTTTTAAATTCTTTAAATGATATGTAGCGCATATTTGGACACATCCTGGTAACGACACGATGGTAATCACAACCATGATCTTGTATCCAAGCGCGAGGATCCAGCTTTATATCGTCAAATTCTATATTGTTTTCTATGCATTTCGGATCATTTTGAAAGGTTATTACTAAACTGCTGTAGAACAGACCATCTCGAACGAGTTGCGAAAGGTCGGGAGACTCAATAAGCTTGGTAAAAATCTCAGCAAAAGGACCTATTTTGTTGCGTCCCAGTGACTTAAACTTGCTTAGCATTGTGGGTGAGAGATAGCCATAACGAATGTTTTTCAAAACCTTTACAGTGCTGGACTGGCGTTCCGGCCAGTGATGAAAGAGCCACATCAAAGCGCTATATAAAAGCTGGAATATAAAATATTTTAAAAAATAAAGATATTGAAATCCTTTTAGAATGTGCATTACCTCAATTTCCGAATTGACTGCCAGATAACTTGATTTCAGCAAGCAGCATACTTGCACCTCACTCAGGCTCAAGAATTCACGGCTAGCTATAATGGACAAAGTAGCTCTGGAAATACGTCCCGACATCTTTTCGATAATTTCCACCAGTTCATGGGCCCGTCGTCCTTGGTAAAGAATGCTAAACGCTGAGAATTCATCAAACACATGCATATCCAGATTTTTCCAGCAAATCTCAAGAAGCTCGGGTATTTCCAGAAAATATGCGGTTCTCAAAATGTCGATGAAGTTATTATAATCCAGTGTGCCATATGTTGAGATCATCCATTGGTACGTGTCGCTGAATCCCTTTGGACTCATCTCCGGAGTGTCGAAAACAAGATTGTCCTCGCCTGCATCCAATTCTAAAATTAGTTTTGCCATGACTTTCGAGTAAATACATAGTATAACCGCATGACAAGGGAAGGAATGACCTTCAACAGTCACAATAATATCGGCCATTTCGTTCTTTTGAATAGTTTCCATTAAAACATCTACAGGCTTTATTCTGTGGCTCAGGACGACAATATCTTCGTCATCTGAAGGAGGATCAAATGCACTTTCTATACTTTCGGCATCTTTTGCAAACTGTACAAACAACTCTTCCAATTTGCATTGTCTTTAGAAAAACCAGGGAAAGTTATAATTAAAGATTAGTAAATATCAGCAGTTTGTAGCTTACTTGTAAGAGTCAGCTGGATTTGACCTGGTGGGCAAATAGGGGCGCGCTTTATACATTCTTTAAGTTTTTGGATGATAAATTAATAAATATATAGAGACGATGTTACTGTTGATTACGATATGAATTATGAGTGAGAAGTATAATGCTTAGATGCCTATGGTTTTGACAACAAAACTTTATTATTTTTTTATTAAAATAAAAAATTAACAGAATTTCGTACAAAAGTAACGGTTGTCACATAAATTTCAAATTTAAGCCCCCTATGTCTGCGTTGCCTGTGAATGGCAACCGAACCTGCCAATCAGCTGTTGCTTGTTTTGTTTCGTGACATAACCGCAATTTCCTAAAAGCCAGCTTAAATTCAGCAATTTTTTAATTAATTTAAACGTAAAACAATAGTTATTATTAAGCTGACATGTCCCACAAATACACGGAGCTGATTAAGCTCGGCACGCAGTATGCCCGCCGGATGAACTACCTATCGAATCGCATTTTCGGCGAAGTGGCGCGTACCACCAACGAGAAGTCCATGAAAGTCAGTATTTCACTTGTTAAAAATCAACTTAACTGCAAACTAATTTGATTCATCATCTACCAGGTGGTTCGCATGTTCTCGGAGGAGCCAATTCACAAGCGGGACTACGTGGTCAACTGGTATCCGCGGCACGTGGAGACGCATCTGCTGATGAAGAACCTGCGCGACTACGGATTGTTCCGCGACGAGCACCAGGACTTCAAGGAGGAGATGAAGCGTCTGCGCAAGCTGCGCGGCAAGGCGCCGCCCAAGAAGGGCGAGGGCAAGCGGGCCTCCAAGAAGTAGTTCCATAAATACATAAAAATCCATCTTTATTGAACGAATCCTAGTCTGTTTGGCTGCGGGTCAGCAACTTTGCACTGCCGGCGAAGACCACTTCGTCGTTCTGCCGGATGTCGTACTCCACAGTGGAGATTTTGCGCGACTGCAGCAGGCGCACGGTCACCAGGGTGTCCGTCTCAATGCGACAGGGTTTGAGGAACTTGAAATTCTGCTCGAGAACAACGGTGCCAGGTCCCGGCAACTGGGTTCCCATAATCCCAGCCACAACCGCATTGAGCAGGGCTCCATGCACTCTTCTCTCCTCCACTGGTGTTTCCAGGCTGTGTATGTAGTTGTGGTCGCCGGTGAACTGGGCGAACTGCTCCAAGTCGCTCTGTGAGAAGCGCTTAACCACTTGCACCTGCTGAAGTGCTCGGCTGCTCAGCTGTCGGCAGAATCGGAGCATTCTGCAGCTGGACAACCTCAATGCGTGTGGCGAAATCTTGCAGCAACAATTGGCAGAGCTTGACGATGCGCTGATCGTGAGCCTTCACCCGCCACTCCTGCACCGTCCTCAGCAGCGCAGGTCTCAGGAGTAAATCCTTGTCGACCTCTCCGGATTCCAGTAGTTGGTAGAAGAGCGCCAGGCTGTGGAGCACTATTTCCGGGTGATCTGTGCGCACAAAGAGGCCGGTGATGAGTTGTAGGTGCTGCCTGATGAATTTGCCAGCTGTTTTGTCTGAAAAGATTGGGTTCCCTGAAGTAGAAGTCCACAAATCGTAGCCTTTTTCCATACCCAAGCAAATGTTACACAATGCCGCAATGCCGTGTGGTTTCAGCGCCTGATCCTGGGATTCCAGCGATGCCAGGAACACATCCAGGGCGTCTGCCTCTAGCAGATGCGGCCAGTTGATCGGATCGTAGGCGAAGTTGGCCAAATTAGCAGTCACCTGCTCCTGGGCCTCTAAAAGTGGAAATCCTATCTGAGTTCAGGGTGCAAATAACATTAAATTAAAGCCTCACCGATGTTGGTCGTTGTGTAATACTCATCGACCAGGTGACCTATGTACTCCCTGCGATCTATACCCTGGGCAGGTGTCCTTCGTTTCAGTGTCCTGTGGCTGGAGAACATAAAAGTATTTCAGGATGCCGCGATTTCAAAAGACTCCCAAAGTGACATTCACAACGGGGTACCAATGTCAACTTAGACATTCTAATGTAAACGTGAATAATGGCGGTCAAAATAATAGAAAAATGTTTTTATTTCAAATTTAAAATGCTTTCAGCAAATAACACAGGAACACAAAATTAAACTTTGTGAAATTTCCACGAACCATTTCAAGTTTTCCATGATATTTGGGTGCTCCTGAGTAAAAGTCCCATACAAAATTATTTTCCATCACCTACAGGTTCCGCGGTATAGCTAAGAATACAAAAAACCGATGTTTGCCGACATTTTGAATTACGTGGCCTATATAATTGGACCAACCTTTATTATTTTCGGTAGGACCTACTCTCAATACATCAAGGCATTCCTAAAAAATAGTCCCCATTGTGAACCATTGCCCATGTCTTTGGAATTCGACGCCAAAGTTGAAAATCCCAAAATTGTAGAGATTTTTCTGATGGAAAAACAATTCTGAGGATTAAATCTTGAATGGAAGTAATTTTAACTATTCATTGTATCTATTGTTCATTGTATGCTTTAATTTCGGTTTAAAGCGTTTTCATGAGAACATTTTATTGGATTTCTTATACTAATAAAACCGTTTTTTTTATTTCATTATCTACTCCTAAATGTTGTCAAATTTTAAAAAAGTCAAGGCATCCTACAGAATGGGAGTAAACATTTACATTTCTCTGTGTATGTTCAGTGAACGTATTTTAGTTTCTTAGTTTTAGAGGTTGCCATGACTTATTCAAAATTTGACAACATTTAGGAGTAGATAATGAAATAAAAAAATCGGTTTTATTAGTATAAGAAATCCAATAAAATGTTCTCATGAAAACGCTGTAAACCGAAATTAAAGCATACAATGAACAAAAGATACAATGAATATTTAAAATTACTTCCATTCAAGATTTAATCCTCAGAATTGTTTTTCCATCAGAAAAATCTCTACAATTTTGGGATTTTCAACTTTGGCGTCGAATTCCAAAGACATGGGCAATGGTTCACAATGGGGACTATTTTTTAGGAATGCCTTGATGTATTGAGAGTAGGTCCTACCGAAAATAATAAAGGTTGGTCCAATTATATAGGCCACGTAATTCAAAATGTCGACAAACATCGGTTTTTTGTATTTTTAGCTATACCGCGGAACCTGTAGGTGATGGAAAATAATTTTGTATGGGACTTTTACTCAGGAGCACCCAAATATCATGGAAAACTTGAAATGGTTCGTGGAAATTTTTGGCTGTGTACCTGTGTAATTATACAAATATTACAATTTTATATTTTAGAAAAAGTTATATTTGTTAACTATATTTTTAATTTACATACATTAAGAAGCGAAAAATAGTATATTTCAAAGATAATTTTATTAAAGCAAATTTAGTTCTTTAAAGGTAAACCACCATCCAGTAAAAGCTTCCCCGAACGCATCGTCCTTCCAATTCAAAACCTTAACTGTTATCCTTGCTGGGACTGTCGCTTGCCGAGAACTCAGTGTCATTGGAATTGCTAAAGTGGCTCCTGGCAGCTGCCACGGACTTCGGTGGGACGTTGAACAGTGGGTGGGTGGGCAGTAGCTCGTTAATGGTGTCGCCCAGGACCTGCGGGCTGTTGGCGCACTCCGAGTGCTGGGCAATGGAGACGCCACTGAGGGTATAGCACGTGTGGTAGAGATCTTGCGGTCTGAAAATACAGCGATAATTTAACTAAACAGAATCTAAAATCAACCGAAAATCCCTTACTTTCCGGGCTTGTCGATAAGCCCGCCGTTTTGCTTCTGACAGCAGAGCAGGATGTACTCCTGCAGGGCCTCCACATCGAACAGGGTGTGCTCCATCTGCTTGTCGACGCCCGATAGCGTGGCCTGTGTGATGGGTATGGTGGCGCCCACCCAGAAGGAGTAGCAGCCATCGACCAGCTTGTTGGTCCTCCCCTGGAAGCCTCCTTCGTAGGTCATCTGGCGGCGCAGTGTCCACTTCAGCAGGGCCTGCCTGTCGCACTTCTCCGCCTCGTTAAGCAGTGCCAGTCCGGCGATACCGCAAAAGGTGTACCCACCATGTGCCTCCAGGTCAGGGGCTCCGCCAAATCCGCCCTCGTACGTCTGACACTGGGCTATCCAATCGCCGGTGCCGGCAAACAGCTCCTTTATCACCGGCTCCGGAAGATTCAGCAGCTTGGCGCAGGAGATGGCACAGTAGGCGCCGCGCACATCCGTCTCCCCGTCCACATGGAGACGGAAAGATCCGTCCGCTTCGCGTACGCTGAACAGAAACTGGACGAGAGTAGGGCGATCGATGGCGCGGTAGGCCTGCTCGGTTCCAATGATGCACAGGCTGTTGACAGCCGCATAGGTGGGCGCCAGGTGGGCATACTGTCCGGGTCCTCCTCCAAAGCCTCCCGTGGGCGCACGGCAGCTAAGGATCAGAGAAGGTTTACTAGGACCAGCCATGGGTAGACCCATTAAACACTTACTTGCCAAGGAACTGCACCACATGGTCCAAGGTCTGGTCGTCGAAATTGAAGCTGAGCAACTGCGCCGCCTGCAGGATCCAGTAGACGCACCACGGACGACTGCTGTCCAGGCACTCGTAGTTGGAGGGCAGTCGCCGGAGCATCGCGTCCAGGTAGTACTGGTGCTCCAGCCGGAAGATCTGGGTGAGGCGCGGGTGGGTGAATATCAGCTGCTCGAAGCGGTCGAAGCACTTCTCCACCGAGGCCTCCGTCTTTTGCTGCAAGTATCCATCGATATACTTAGGTTCTTATCTTTAACGCTGACCGACTTTCCGGCATTACTCACCTGCTCGCGGGACGTGGTCGTGGACTCCTTCTCGTCGTCGAACATTTCGCTCTTCAGGCGCTGGAAGTTGCGGAACAGCAGCTCCTCCTCGGGTCCCATTTTAGCGCTTAATATTGGGCTAAATTAAATTAAATAAACAAAAAATGATTCGCCGAATAGGAATTTCTTGAGAGCACTGAGAAATTTCGTTTTACAACACTGTTATTTGTTTAATAAGGGTATTCCTTACCAAATTGACTATACCATTTTGTTTCGGATTTGAATCCGAAAATAATGAAAGTTGATTTGTTTTGGGATTTTTTTCTTCAAAATAATTTTATTTTTAGACCAATTTCTTCTATACCCCATGGTCCTTCCATGTGTACTTTTTTAGAAACATATTAAATCAAGTATGTAATTATTTCTAATAATTTATTGACATTTAATTAACGATGGGACATTAGACTCTCGGTGGTAACAAGAGTGTAGGTGCTGGCTTGGGAACTGGAATCATTTATCAAAGATTGAGCTGCCTCGTCACAAGTCCAAACGGTATACAGTTCCATAAACGCATAAACGGCAAGGCACACCAGAAAATAGGCCGTTAGAGTAGCAAAAATCTGAAACACAATTAGCAATGAGATCTGCATCAGTCGCCAAATATGAATTTACACTGTTCGTTCACCGACATCACGAACTCACAATGACACTTCCCCTAAGGATCAGCATCAGCCAACCTCTGAAGTCCAGTTTGCTAATCCAGTTTAAGAGGGGTTCCGATCCAGATGGTACATTTTGGGGACTTGGTTCTCCTGCGGCATTGATTTCCCCGCCTTCTCCCCAGCTATCGGATCTTAAGGGCAGATACCAATCGTAATACAGCTGCGTCAGCATCGGCACCTCAAAAGGTGACTTTTTCTCAAGTTTCTTTTCATTTTCAGGATCTTTTGAGGCTTGGGATTGGGCATCCTTTAGGTGCTGAAAACATTCATTGAAATCCGCCAAGGTAAGTTTCCGGCTCTTTTCGCACTCCTCCGGCATCGTGGGATTAGCTAAATGGCGCAATGGGACTTCAAGTTTTCTGTTCTTTTTCTTGAGCGTTGGTGTTATATCGGGTTTCGGTTCTTCCTGCTGTTGCTAGAATTAGAAACAATTTCTTATCTTTGAAGATAAAATAAATCTGATATATTAAACACAGTTCTTAACAAAATAAAAAAAAAATTTAATGGAACACTCAAATCGTGTTGCCATAGGCCCCGGCGAGATTCGAACTCACGATCTCCTGTTTACTAGACAGGCGCTTTAACCAACTAAGCCACGGCGCCACATGGTCACGCATGTGACTAAAGTTCAGTGAACTGCGTCCTCTGCAACCAATTATACATATGAACGCACTGCTTGTTACACTGCCTTATCGATTTCTTTTAAAGCAGTGTATAGCAGTGCATGCTAAACACAGTAGATGGCGCTAGTTAAAATCTAGTTGATGAAACTCACCGGTAGAGGCCCTCGCAGATCCAAGAAATTAGAGTCGAACTTCCCCTTATTGATCAGTTCGAGTTCCTCCAAGGACACAAAGTTTCCAGGATCGACGCCCTCATTGCTGAAAATGTCGTAGTACTCCCCGGGTCCCGAGCAGTCGGAAACCTGTTCACATTGTTCGGTTTCCGAGTTGAAGAAGCTGCGCTGGCCAAAGTATCGTTCCTCGCAATTAAGCGGCGTGCAGTTCCGGAAATAATCCTTGTCCCAGTTGCGACAGTCCGTGAAATCCTTTCGCCGACGCAGCTTGTTGCCATTCGGATCGAGGGTTTCGAAGCGGGTGTCGAAGTGGAGAACTTGCCTTGCCGTCGCCACCGCCTCCTTTTCGTGGGCACTCGTGGCGGTGATCAAAATGGGGCAACTGCCCACCCGGTTGTACAGGGACTATGGATATTCAGGATTAAATAAGGGGTTAACTTATACAAAAAATAAAAACTGATCTGCATGTTCAAAGCACTGTTCAAAATAAATAAACAATCGAAATATTTAAGCGCAACCCATTTTTAATAAGGCAAATGTAAACTGTTTGCAGTTTCAAATAAAACTTTTTTCTAGAATATTCGGAATATTCAATTATAAGAAAATAAAACACAAAATAAAAACCTTAAGTCAAGGTATAACATAAACTGAGTGTTTGTTTTTTTGCGGGGATATTAAATAAAAGTTATGTGAGTCCTCTTTTAACGTATATAAACAAAATCAGTAAAATTGGTTAAAAAAATAAATATATGTCCCAGTAGGCCTTTAAAAATAAATAATATAAAATAATTATGATCCCTGGTTTTTAGGTAACATTAAATTTCATATTTTGTAATCTATTGGAATTAATAAACATTCGACTAACCACAGTGGGCCATACAAGTGATACAGTTTCACTCTTGCCTGGTTCGATAGCCCCGAAATCACCGCCGAATATTCGTCCCATCGAGTGCACCTGCTCTCCTTCGGTTGTGTTTACGGTGCATTCCCCATTCGAGACGACTGTGAAGTCCATCGTTTCCCTTCGATCACTTCTGATGCGGTTGGTGACAGTCAGATCTGTGAGGACTAGTCAGAGCGATGAACCATTCGAGCTCAAAAGAGGACCTCACCAAAGATCAAGCCAATGTCCTTTTCGTGGGGCACTCGCACTATGACCTTTGTGGCACACAGGCTTCCGTCGGCGCTTCGTCTGTTGAGCAAAACGAAGCAAACCAACAGGTATTGTAACATTTTCTGACTGACTTTCCTCGGTTACTACAATATTACCATCTCCATCTATTTTTCGGTTACCATTTCTTTTAGAATGTCAGTGAGTTTACTTTGAATAAAAAGCACACTTTCACAATTTGCTGGTCAGCGCGAAAAATTTCGTGGCCAGACCCTGGATCAATTTTACAATTCCCCAGCTAACCCCTTTGCCCATCAAAAATTCCTCGAATACTACAACCCTTGAGTGCCCTTCTCCACTTACCCCAGCGAAGGGGCTCGTCACGATCGGGATCCTTAATGGGTTGTTGTTTAATTAAGTGTAATTTTAGTGGCTGGCAACCCCTAAGACATGGGTCCTGGTCATATCCTTGCCATATCCTGGCTTATATTTCGCTGTATCCATGGCCACGTTTACTGCATCCATTGCAATTTATGTTTTAATCATCAAATGCGACCCAATTAATCAACGTTGCTGGCCTTAATTTATGCGGCGGAACAGTGTTTTGAAGTAACCCGACGCGACATCGCACGACAGGTGACATTTTGCGATAGGGAGAGCTGAATGCTGAATGCTGAATACCGAATGCAATGCATATTCATAGCGGCCCAGTCGTAATTTATGCCGAAACTCAAAACTAATTTGACAGGAAATAATTAATTTGGCATCGAAAGAGTCCCAAAATAAAAGTGCTGCCAGCCCAGTGCCAATTAAAATTATTTCGCTTTCATTACCCAATGGAGAGGCTGTAATAAAAGTCTTACCCGAAACCGAAAAAAAAAGAAAAACCAAGAAACCCCAGGCTCACAGCGCAGCTTCCAATCCCAGAGACAAAGACAGCAAAATAAAAGGCAAAAACTAAGCATACAAAAAAAAGTTTAAATAATGAAATCACTTCGCACCATCTCGAAATTGCTCATTAACATTTTGTGTTTGCGATATCAACTTGTGAAAATCACAGGGCCCAGCAGTCTGGAGTCCGGACTCCAGGCCGGGCCAAAACCAAGCCAAGCTCCAAGACCCAGAGACCGGGCCTGCATTTGGGAGACCCAGACTCCGAGGCAGCAGCAGCTACTTGGCTTTTATTTATTATGCCATGTTGTTGTTGTCGCCGCTGAGCTGTTGCAGTTGCTGTTTTTGCGAAGCTGACTCTTATTAGTTGGGTCAGTCCGTCTTACTTTTTCTGTTTCAGTCTTTTTTCGCCGTGGAGGAGGTGTGAAATCTGTCGAAATCCCCGCTGGACTCTCCTCTGGTTGGAGATCCGCGCTGGACTGCTGGTTTCGTCGGCGGGTCGTGATTTGTCTGCAGAAGACACAAACAACTCCTCGGACCTCAGCAATTTTTCTAAAGGTCGTTTGCTTTACCTTTACATTTGCCTTTACTCAATGAAATTGGCTCAGCTTCCAACGACACAGGGGGAAAAAATAGGGACAGTGTAATAAAAGGATCTAAATAAGTATTAAAACGTTATTATTAAAATTGATCTTCAAAATAAAAATCGGAAATGAGTTTATCTGCTTTTAAAATATTGTAATGTAACTTTAATATTTTAAAATAACCTTTTTTTCTCATTTTATTTTACTATAAACCAACGCTGCGTATTCTTATTTTTCTCCCTTATTCATTTAAAACCTACCCATATTTTCTCCCGGTGCATCACACATCCCAGCAGCCAGAACTGCAGTCAAAGTCAGAGATAAGACGACTGGTTGACTGGGTGTATTTCAGTAGCCATTCGATTTATGTTAAATAAGCTGAACGCAAGCTCTGTTTGTTGTAAAATACCAATTGCCAGGCTCATCCGCGCGGAGGAACAGAGACGGATGGAGTTTTAAGAGGGAGTGGGAGAGAGATTCCTCTGTGATTCACGTTTCTGCATCATTCCATTTTTTTGGTCCTTTTCTTTTTGGATTGGATTTTTTCCTTACTCCATGTGTCGTTGTCGCTGGTGTTGCTGGTGGTGTTTGTGTTGTTGTCGTTGGACTGCATCAGATTTCTTAATTTAATTGGCTTTATGCAAGAGGTTCTCTTGGCTGGTTGGGGAGAACTTTATAGACAAACTGTCTGCAGGTCCTGCTCCTCCTCCTCCTCCTTATTCCTCCTCCTTCAGGCCATCTCCAATCTGCAGGCCAGAAAAAATCGTGGGAATCGTCTATCTGGGCGCGTGTGGACTTCGCTGCAAATGCAAAACAGCTTAACCCAATTTTTTGTTTCTTTGGCTCAACACAGTAAAAAGAAAATCAATAAGAAACAAAAGAAAATGCTGCACGTAATTGTAAGTTATGAGCAGCAGCCGCCGCAGTAACACAGCAAAAACAACAACTGGCCAGAATAAAATGAAAATCGTTGAGGTTTTCCATCATCGCGTGCAGGTTGGCAGCGTTTTAGGAACAATTGCAGCCCATTTAAGCATAAATGCAAGCAAAAAGTCCGCGTTCCGCACTCAAAAAAACGCTTATCTGACAAATCAAAAAAATAAATAATAGGAGTTTAATAAGAAATCACTATGGACGGCAGTCCATGTAGTGACGAAGCGCACCAGGAGAGTGTGCGAAGGCGACTACTATTATATAGCCGCAAAATTGAAAATCTGCTGTGATAGTCCGATCGTAATGAGTAATACACCAATCGAAAGGTATTGCAAAAACTTAAAGGATTGCATACCAAGACTTTAAGAAAATCAATTGGCTTGGGAGAGAGAGCGGTGAAAGTGAAAAAGTGAAAATTTCGAAATTTGGAGCTGTTGGGGCCGGTGGGGATAAATGCCCCATCGCAATGTTTTAGTTGTATTCCTTTTGAAAATACCCGTCGAATGAGGGGTCATTTGTCAAAATCCGACTCTCCGTTCAAAAGTTATAGCCAAAATAAGATTTTCTTCTTCTTTCCAAAATGAAAATTTAGTTCTGTTTGTCAGTTTGTCCACTTGTCCACTTGTCCACTTGTCCACTTGTCCGCTTGTCCACTTGTCCACTTGTCCACTTGTCCAAAATATGTTTTTTAAGTTCTGAAAATTTGATATGACGTTCATCACATCGATATAAAAAACTTTTGTTCTACCACTTTTGGAAAAACCCGCTAGTTTAGCGGGAAAACAGCTATAAATAGCTAAAACTCGGAAAGCCGTAACTTCTATACTACTAAAGCTACAGACTTGTGCTGCATCTCGTTTGAAAGGTATTTTTAAATGCTATAAACACCTTTTATATGCAATTTGTGTAAATGTAATAGTTAAAAAGATATGAACAAAAGAAAATTTGTTTAAACTTTTTTTTTAGCTTTTTTTTAATTTTCTCAAAAACGGCTCTAACGATTTTCCTTACAACTTTAAACTGTATAGCCCTTGAGATTCCTTAAATTTTGGTATATAACACATTACTGTAAAAAGTCACGTTTAAAAGTTATTTTTATACGAAAATAGCCACTTTTGCCAGCTTGAGTAGTGAATTTTGTGGGAGGGTATCCGAACTGTATTTTAGGGTCATGGAATCAGTAAATTTGCACTTAAGAGTTCCATATAGGAATCTTTTGTTCTACGACTTTTGGAAAAAGCCGCTACTTTAGCGGGAAAAAGCTAAAAATAGCTAAATTTCGTTAGTTTTTTAAGATCTACACTACTAAAGGTACAGACATGTGCTATACCTCGTTTAAAAGGTATTTTGAAATACTTCAACGCCTTTTTAACTGGATTTGTTAAAATACAATAGTTTAAAAATTATGATTTATGACCAATTTAAATTTAAATGTTTATATTAGCACCTATGAGAGCAAAAGTAAACAAAAAAAAACTTCTGATATCAAATAAAAACACCTCTTAACGAGGTAAAAAACTAGTGACGATCGCACCTTCAACATACAAAAGTTCTGATATCAACATTTGTGACGAAAAATTATTACACTCGTCATTAAATAGACTTTCTAATATTTTCTCATTCGGCACGCTGCAATAGAAAATGCGTGTGAAGGGAAAAAGACCGGAATAGTTTGCTAGGGCGGGCCGAATGAGAAAATATTAGAAAGTCTATTTAATGACGAGTGTAATAATTTTTCGTCACAAATGTTGATATCAGAACTTTTGTATGTTGAAGGTGCGATCGTCACTAGTTTTTTACCTCGTTAAGAGGTGTTTTTATTTGATATATTTTAATTAAATTTCAGTATTAAGCGGAAGTTTTATGTAGGTTTGAATCAATATAATTACTTAATATTAAATATTTCTGGCTATATTTTTTATTTATTCGATTTGCAAAATGTTCGCTACTCATTATTTAAAAAATGTTCCGTCTCAATTGCCTATTTTCTTTACAGTCCTGTATAATTTGGAAACGCCTTCTAAGATATGCACATAAATTGTTTCTTATTTTTTCAATTTATTTTTTATTTTGAGTGCGGTGCTACTGGTGTATTAGTACGTCATTCGTATCGATGTAACCGGCTGTGAGAGTGTGTGCGACACTTAATCATCAGCGTGAAATGAAGAAAAAGAAATGCCCCAGTCGAGGCCAACTGTGCACTTGGCTCTTCTTCCCTCGCTCCCGAGAGTGTACATATATAATTAAGCCATAAATTCTGTTTTTATGATTTTCCACAAAGTTATGAATTTATGGCAGCCAACAAAGCACTCAAACGCAGACACACACAAACAACAATTTGCGGCAAAAACGGAAGTGAATTTAAATGCGCGCGCATGCGAAATGGAAGCAGTTCCCCGCCAACCTTCCCACTAAGAAAATAAAAACGAAAAAAACCCACCAGAGTTCCCGATGAGAAGACCAATCGTAGTTGGTCCGGCCATGTTTGCCCATAAATGTGTCGAGCACTTTGCCCAGACCTCGTAAATTTAACGCTTTTAAGTTTTATTTCTCTCGCTTTTTTCGCCATAGCCTATACGCCTCGCTCTCCATTTCGTTGATGGATGTTGGCCGAGGGGCCCAATAAAATTTAAATATTTATTGTACTCTATATTTTGTAGCCATGCAAATTTTGACCAGGGTCCTACAATTTATATAGAACAAGAAGCTCGGAGGGTGTCCATTTTAGTTGGCAATTCGGCTACAAAATGTACATACACCGAATTTGCGG